TTAATCTAGTCCACTCTTGAATGAAGGTTTTTTTTTTTTTTTTTTTTTATATATATATATATATATATATATATATATATATATAGTTAAGTTGTCTGGATAATTTTAGTAATGATGGGGTCTGCATTTTACTGAACATATTCAAGCTTCATCATGTTATAAGGACATGGGTATTCTATGAGTCTGACCTACTTTCCTACTTCTTGTAGGAAATTTATGTACTGTGTTGAACCCAAATGAGCAGGTGGGCCACAGTGCAAATCCATGCCTTCTGGGTTGCTAAAGTACAAGCTTCTAAACAAATGGAAATCTGGCAATGCGTGAGCTTCTTTAGCTGCTTTAGATGAGCCATGAAAAATGAAATTTCTCATGTCTTTGCATGCACATGTGCTTACAGTAATGTGTTAAGGTGGTTGTTTTTCTGTACATTGCATCAAGAGTTCTTTTAAAGAAGTTTGCATCAAGTCAGCAAATTGGCTGCACTCTTGGCTAAATTAAATTTTAGTTAATTACCTGCTTAACCAACTGTTTATTTATTAAGCTGCTTAAAATCAGTTAGTTTATTGTAAGCCCAAGCAAATTGTCGTTATACTGTATACATTTGCATAAAAGAATAAAGGATGCTGAAAATTCACTTGTGAAGCTGCTGTATGCTCTTTAGTGCTCTAACCAAGCCAGTATTGCAGGAATGTTCTGCCCTTTGATAGGGAACACTCCCTGGAATTGCTTCACCACTTGAAACCTGAGCTCTGGCAGGAAATGTGCAACTTACTCCCTCCACAGACCTGAGAGGTAAGTGGAGTTGCTTTGCACAAGTTCTGTCCTTCTCCAGTTGCTGTAGCAGCATGTTTGTAGCAGCATGTTTTCTAGATTGTGAATTCACATAAGTATTAAATGCTTACCAAAAGACGCTGAAAAATTATAGGCAGAAAACCTTCATCAAATGCAAAAATTAAGTCCAGTTTAAATAATCCACTTGCATGAATAAAAATATTTTAGCATTAAGTGGCCGTGGCACTGCCCACAATATGGATATGCACACACAGTAGTACCTTGCTTAGCTTAACCTGCTGTTTAAGGTAGTTACTCTCAAACAGATTTTTTGTTTAAGTCTCAGCTTTTGTTTTTACTCCTATTACTTTTGAGGATGTAGATTTTACTTTGGAGCTTACAGCAGTCCTCTGTTCCATACTAACATTAGCTATATTTTTATTGCTGAAGTGTGCAATGAATTTCTGTCAGATTTTCTCATTTTATATATCAATATTTGTTAGGAAATCAGCTGTAATTTGTCACCTTATAAGCAAGAGCTAGCCATCTCACTATTAGTAAGTTTTCAAAATATATAGCAAGAATGGCAATATGTGTTTGGGAGACGTAATACTATCTGTGTTCTTGGTGTATGTATTTCTGAAAGAAAGAAGTTGCAAAGATGATATTGGTACAGTCTGGGGCCAATTATGTTGTAAAACAAGTGTGTCAGTAAAACCAGTAATTGCAGGGTCTATCTGTGCTTAACAACTGCGTCCTTTTTGTCAAGCGTACATGTGTTGATAGAGGTTTAAATATGGGTTCTGTGCACATGATTGGCCACAAAGCAATTCCATGTAATAACCTTGGCAGGTCTTTGAAGGAGGAGTATTTTTGAAAGTACATGTGTTGGTGCAGGTGTTTTAACATATTCACTACATTCTTCCATACTTTTTTTGCTGACATATAGAGAAAGAGTGGCTTGAAGAAGACAGTCTTTTGTCACCTTCCTCTCTATTACTTTCATGGCTGTTTTATTTCCATTTTGTAGATGCATTTCAGGATTTGAGTCATTATACTTGTAAAACTGTGTCCTGTAGTTGCAAAAACCTCTTAGTTTCATGCAAGAAACTTGTCTGCTATGAGATGGTGGTTCCAGCTACTGAGTATTTTATATGGGACATAGAATATAACATTTCATTGCAGAATCTGAAAGTACAAAACATAGTTTCTTAAGTCCATGAAGAAAACATTCATGAATGACTGATGTCCAGCTAGGTGGGACTATGAGCTTCACACTGGGAAGATGCTAAACTCCAGTCTGTGGAGCAGTATGAGAAGTGTGTGTGTGTCCTATTCCTTAAAGAGAGTGGAAAAGGCATTGCTCTTCCAGTCTGCAAGTTACATGAACTGTTGTTCTGGCCCAATATAACCGCTCCTGTTTCCATAGCAAACTCATAATACAGTGTCTCTTTCTTGAATTTGATAATTTCATTTATGTGCATTGAGAAAAATCCAGTCATTGTCTGTAACTGTGCAATGTTTTTTGTTTGGTTGGAGCAAAGATGATCTATATTACAGCAAGAGCCTTAATAGATCTGCAGGTTGGGTCTGTTTGAGGGACTGAGTGAATGGTTTCATGGTGATAAAGGATTTTGAGGGTCACTAAGGGATGATTTTCTCTTTGCTCACTCTTACGGATCTGTTGCTGTGTCTGAAACCTAGTTTTCTGTCTAGTTTAAGGCAGTGATGAGGAAGGAAAAGTAATGCTGGTCTTGTCTTGATCAACAAAAAAGACAAAAATAGAGGAAAGAACAGGAGAAAATGTGAGACTTACCTTTTTCTTCTCTTAAAACATGGTTTCTAGCTTTTAACAAGTCTTTTTTTTTTCCCTTTTGCTGCAAAACTGTGTATTGTTGAGTTAGACTCTCCTAGCTCACTACCAAATCGATTTGTGTGGACAGCAGTATTTATTTGAAAGCTGAACAGTCCTTTGTGCACTACTGTTTGTATTTGTGGAAAAACACCTTGAAGATTACACTCACTGTTTCTTGTTTCATTTGTTACTTTTTCAAATCCTTGTGAATTACACCTGCCAAGGGGTTGATTCTGTGGTATAGAGAAACTCATTTTAATCAATTGTGTGCTTTTCTGAAACCTTCTTAGTTTCAGCTCAACAGCAAATGCCATGCTAAAATTTTGTCTGTAGTTATCAGTTGTGTAGCTGCACTGATAATGCCAACCTTTATGCCATGACTAGTAAGGCTTGTAGGTTATGTCTGTGTGGCAAAACACAGTTTGTGAAATGCTATGTGGTTGGCTCAGATCACTGGTATGGAGGTTCAATTCTTCTTTGGTGTTTAAAGGTTTTCTCCTACTTTTTATTTTTGAGATCTGGAGAAGGTATAGAAGAAGCAGCCTCTCCATGAAGAGTTGTCAGATGGACTTTGTTTTTACGGTTTATTTGAGAGTTTTAATATTTGTAACATAATTTTTCATTCATTTGTCATTAAGACATAGTCATAAATTTAGCAGCTGATGGCTTTATATGGTGCCTGTATCATTCAGTTTGTCATGTTGGTTTAGCAAAACAAAAATAAACTTGCTGTAGTTCATAATGAATACAGCATTTCAGTTCTGAAGCCAGTGACTGAGTAGCCAAAATAAAAAAGCTGTCTGGTGAGGAAGCAAAGTACTTTTTAATCTGAAAATGCTGAGTAAGTCAAAACAAGCATTTTGCAAGGATGGATGATCATCAATTAGATTTTTTTATGTCTCAGGTGTGTGGTCATACTTAGAGCTGAAGATGTGATCAGGGATCACATCAGGGATTTTTATGGCAGTTGCTCAGGAGGTTGTCTGCAGGCAGTGGAAAGATGATTGAACTGCAAAGTCACAGCTTGGTTCTTGATCTTCCACTTTCTCATGAGAGCCTATGTATTTAAGTTACTAACTATTTAGGAGGGGTTGCTCTTTCATTTCTTACCCCTCCCTCTTCATTTACGTATATTGGAGCATAGATACCTCTAATGATCCGTTCAAGCTCTAATCACTGCTGGAATGTTTGCTGTCCTCTGCTAAATTCTCCTTTTTTTTATCATCATATGCTCCTATCCCCCTCCACAAATATGAAGCTAATATGTAGATGTGTTTGAAAGCTTCATAATCTTATGCAAGATAAGGAAAATCAATCATTTTATATTTGGTTTTGAATATACCTGTGTTCTTTTGCTACTCTTAGCGTATTTTAATTTTATGTCTTAATATATTCTCAAGTTATGAAATTTTCTGTTTGCTTACGCCCTTGTCAAAGGATGTAGAAATAGTTTGTTGAGTGTGTAATTAAGTGAATCACAGGGCCTGATCCTGTGAGGCCCTTAAGAAAGTAGCTGGAATCATTGGATAGAGCTGATAGCTTCAGGTGGGCTGATAGCTTTTGCTGGGCTGGGGCTGGATGATCATCACCAGAATCTTGCATTTGAAAAGTGAAAGTCAATTCTTGCATTTTGTTTATCAGCTCTCAGCACACACCGTACACTTGGTGATGGTCATGGTTGCTTGCTGAGAGGATGAGAATTTGTGCTTCCAAAAACTAAATGTGTAAATCCAATCAAAATGTCATAGACAGAAGATTCAGTAGTTTGACAAACATTAAACTATTCATGTTGTAATTTAAAAAAAGGGGAAAAGAAACAATGCTAATGTTTTTGTTACCACTGTGAATTCTCATGTTTTATGGTTTTACAGTGAATGCACACGCCTTGCAGAATAATGCCTCAAAGTGTTGTGTGTTTGTGTTTTCTTTTTCTCCATAAAGCTTTTTATGTAAGCACTTTTGCTGTTTTGTGCTGAAATTAGTTACTTAATTGCATCTAATATCAGGAAGCTGGTAGCCATGATGCCCAGCAATTACAGAGCTTTTTGAATGGAAAATGTTGTTGTGAATCTTTAAAAACAAACGAAAAAATCCCAACAGAAAAACAGCAAACCCATAAAACAACCTTAAAATAGGGAGGGTGTGGACAATGGGCAGAAAGTAAAGGACTGAGTATTTTGGTTTAAGATTGTGTTGTAACATGTAAGACGTTGCTTTGTTATTGGCTATTGTGAATTTAGTATTCATTTTTCTTCTGTCAGTAATGGAGTTTTAAAAGAATGGACTTCTGTGTTTTCAACTTTCTTTGAAACAAGACATTCTTGAATTTGAGTTTTTTGGCTCTTTTTAAATTTTCTGTTGGTTTTGCCTGCAGACCCTGTGTGGACAGTAATGACCGCACGTTTCCGATTGCCTGCTGGCAGAACCTACAATGTCCGAGCATCTGAGCTGGCACGAGACAGGCAGCATACGGAGGTGGTCTGCAACATTCTTCTTCTGGATAACACTGTACAAGCTTTCAGAGTTAATGTAAGTAATGGTCTTATTGCAAATCAATATCTAGCTTATTGCAGATCAATATCCTGAGCCTGCTTTCCTTTTCTGCATTTGTATGGCAGGAATTTGACTTTGAAACAGTATTAAGTAGAGAATAAAAGGTGAAGTTGTGTTCAGGCAGGCATGCTTGTACATGTGCACAGTGTTACTGGGAACTTAGTCATTCTGGCATCCTCTGTTGTACTAACACATCTTCATTTCAGAATCCAATGTACAAAGCATAATTTATTTCTCGTAATGCTCTTAATGGATTAAAGTTGTCCAGTGGAAATGGAGGACAGTTTTGCCATTGAGTTGAATGAAGCTTTTGTTCTGCTGCATTCTGGTTTTTGTGTTTTGAGCATGAGCTGACTGTGTTCAATCACCTGTATGGTTATATTTGGTCACAGCTGCCATCTTAGAGTATCTCCCTGCTCTTTGCTTTCCTCAGATAATATTCTTGTTCTGTGATTTCTCTCACTTAAGCTCACCACCTCCTACTACACTAATGAGAATGACAGGAAGGAAAATGGAAAACTGGTTGTTGAATACTGAGCATTGTTAATAGAAAGAAGCAATAACTTTTACACATGAACCTGGAATTTAAAATAGGTTATTTATCCTATTTTCTACTAAAAATCTTCATGATGTTGTGTATATATTACACAAGTGTAACCCTTTCTTTCAGCTTCCTGAGGGGGGGAAAAGAAAGAAAAATAGGCAAGGACCTCACAAGAAAACATTAAAGCATTCAAAGTCATCTGTGTGTGAGAAGAACCACAACTCAACAGGAAAGAAGCTGTAGATTTTCCGGTGGTAGTAGAACTCTGCTTTTACTTTAAAAGCTGTAGAATTGATGACTTATATAGAGAAAGGTTGAATAATATGATGGTGAAAGTTAACAGGTGGTGTAATAATTAAAATTTTTCAGAAGGAAATTGAACTACATCAAATGGAGTGTAGGACTATCAAATAAGGCTGTGGGACTTCAGATGGGAAGTGAGGGAGACAGTGAAGCAATTGTCAAATCTATGTGGACAAATCTGATTCAGACCATTTGAAGAAGTTCTAATGCTCAGTAATTATATTGAATTCTGACATCCAGTGTTCAGCAAGGATATTGATATATTAGAATGGTTCAGAGAAGATTTGTGAGAGGGGTTGCATTTTTCTGTTCTGTAATCAGTGGCTAGAGCCTGAAGCTGCTGATCAGAAATTAAATCTCTTATCTGGCAAAAATTGCAAGGATCCAACATCCAGAGGCTTAAGGTTCAGAGGCAGATCTGATGTTTATTTGTTTTAGATATGTGAGTCAAGATGATTTAGGATATTCTCTTGAGTAATTTTTGTAGCTCATTCAAAAATACTTAAATTTTCTGGACTTCTGAGTAGTTAAATGTGGGAATTTTGAATGAGGGATGGATTTTAAAGACATTAATTTAGTAACAACAAGCCTCTTTTCCCTTCTGGGATAATTTTTGCTATATCCTTTCCCCTTTTCAGTATCTCTTCTTATCCTTGCTAACAGTTTCCCAGTCTTATACTGCCTGCCAAAAAGTAATATGTGTAAAATGTAGTTGGATATAAAGCATTAGAAGTGCATAAGAAATTGTAAATGTTGTCATCTTTGCTTTCAGGTGCATGAATTCTCCATTAAAATATCTGTCTGGTGGGTTTTTCTTATGAAGAATGTAAAAATTGGGAAAAATAAGGAATAAATATTGGGCTATAGGTATGGGAGATTTGTTTCTTTCTAATCTAGGTTTTCAAAAGCTGTACATTTTTAGAGGATACTAGTGCCTCTCAGAAAATCAGAATCACCAGCTATAAATCTTCCTGTTCTCTCTCCCAAGAAAAAAGTATATAATGTGTTCTTACCACCTTCCTAATGTACTAAATATTTTAGTTGCATAGATCATGCTTTACTGCTTATACAGATCAGCCTGCAAGTTTGTCTATTAAAACTGAGTCTAGGGAATAAAAAGTTAATTGGTGCTGAACATCTTGATCTCATGTCCTAGCCTCAGTCTGTTTTTTCACAAATAGGGAGTAATAAAGTATTCATTTGTAGCAAATGTAACCTACATGCTATACAGGTTCTTAGGTTTTATAGCTTTGGTTTACTTTATTGTGGTTGACACTATACTTAGCCATAAATATTTATGGACTTGTTTTCAAAATAGAAAGAACAAAGATAACATCAAATAAATTAGCACCTTTTTTTTTCCTCCTGGTGATTGCTATAGGTATTCTGTATGCTAATGGTAAAAATCATCTGGAGGATTCAGTGGTGTGCTAATAAAAATGTACTTAAATGCTATTTTTTCTCCAACAGCAAAGTGCTGATCACAGACAATGTCTCTTGATAGTTTATTGACGTTCTAAGTTCACAATCCAACCAGCCCTTTCCATTGATCTGAACAAAAGGCACCTTTGTGCTAAGCCTTACCTTGTAGAGAGAGTAACAAATCAAACCAGATAATCCCCGTGGACTGTAGCCAGAGAAAGGCTGCATTGGTTTCAGGCAGACAAATCAGTTGGAATTAACCTGTGCATGTGTTTGAGAAGTACAAACTCTTACTCTAAAACGCTCTGCTTACCAAATGAAGAAATCCTCCTTCAATCCTAAAAAGCAGACTTCGGTAGGACATGTAGCTGGAACAAAGAAGGCTGACGTGAGTTAACAACATGATCAGGATGATTTGCATTACCGTAAAACTGTTTCTTTGAGATCAAATTACTTTAATTTGTTTTAATTACTTGTTTAAATACCTAAAATTACATCTTTTCCATGCAGGCTGGTTTACTTATATTCCCTGAAAGTCAGGGTAGATGGGGTAGGTTGTTCTGTGAGTAAGGCCAATGGTCATGGACAAATGTTTCAGTTTGGAGCCTTTACTATCCCAGAACTACAAATTTAATGGATTTATACTCTAATGGAAGCAAAATTTAAAAACCTGTAAAATAACTCAAATCAAATAAAATAACAAGCCAAACAAAAAACCCCATACCGCTGCCCTGATTAAAAGAATAGCATCCGTTGTAGAAGGAAGGGAGACGGTTGTGCAGTGTTGGGGAATGCACCTCCTGGAGCAGCAACCCAGGCATTGTGGTGAGCTGTTAGGGGAAGGTTTCTGTTTTGCCAGCGGTCAAGGAGCCAGCACAGCATCCCACAAATGTGTGAGCAGCATAGCTGTGACCTGCTCCAGGAGATCCCAGAATCTGTCATCCCCTTCCTCTGGAATCAGAAGTCAAAATTTTTTTGGGCTGACATGGCAGCAATGTCTCGTGGTGTTTGCAGTTCCGTTGACAGCAGCAGAACCAGAGTGTCAGCAATAGAGACTGATGAGAAGAGGGTGGTAGTTGGTAAGCAGGCATCAGACCTGTGTAATGTGTAAACCTGCCTAAATTTTCACACATGGTGTTTGTGGACAAGTGACAATCATTTTGCAATTAAAAGTGAATCTGTAAATATCTAGTGGTGGTAGATGATAAATAGTTCATTAAATGCAGTTCATGTATTGATGTCTAGTCAATGATGTCAAATTTGTCCTAAGAGGCCAGATACTCTGCCTCCAGCAAAGACTAGTAAGTGCATATAACCCTCTAATTCTTCAATTCAGAAAAAAATGGACATTTTTGTGTCTTAACTCCTGTCGTTTTGTCTTAGATAGTTCCCATATTTCATATGTTTTCATTATTTCTTGTTTTATGAGGAAATAATGTTTAACTTGAATCTGTAGCAACAAAGCAAGTTTCTTATTTTGCTGATGTACGTTTATTTGGTTTGCTTTTTTATAAAAAAATTCAGATATTTAAACTTGCTATCATACTTTTTTATAATTTTGAGCAGCTATTTAATGTTATGATAGTATTACAAGTGTTTTGGATCTTTTTCAACAAGCAGAATTGTGACCTTCACCTACTTTGGCAAGCTGCAACATCATTATATAAATATCAGAGATGGGTTAAGCTAAGGTCTGGTTTTGCTAGATGCTTATCTTTATTTTGCACTAAGTAAAACATTGTGATCCAAACAAAGCTTCATGTTGAAACGTGTCTTCTCTTACCAAATTTGATGCTCAGTTGCAGGAAAAATACCTTCCTTGTGGTTGTGGAATGGTGTTCTGTGTTTCTTAATTCAAACTGATCAGTCAGTTCTAAGCTTTTTCATTAGGAAGCATTTGTTCAGGTTTTTAAGAAACAGTATACATTGGCAGGATTAGATTGGAAAAAAGCTGCAGAGATGGTATCTACATGCTGTTAGAGGAAGTAATGTGTCAGCTGTGGTAATTGCAAGGCTAAACTTAGGTTCCAGACATCTCCCATTTTCTGGTACTTACTGTTATAAGTTCTTAGTTTGTGTTCTTATTTAAATCTACATAGGAAGAATGCCAAGAGGCAATTAGTGTTGCTATATAATTTTAAAATCAGCTTTATTTGCTGTAAAAACTGTAATGATTATTGGTTTATTTCAAAATATAACAGAAACTCCTAATTTAGTAAAAATTTAAGTGACTATATTTGGATTGTATATAAAAATGCCTTATGCATTTATGCTGTTGTACATTTATTGTGTTAACATCTGTTTTTTTCTTTGCTTTTTGTTAGTAATTTGTAAAGTAAATTTTTCAGTGGTGGACTCTTAACAATGTTGCTCCTACTTTCATAAGATATTTTCTCTGTACCATTTAAAAAATAAAAATCAGGTTCTTTGCAAAGTAAATACAGGATTTCTTAGGTCACTTCAATTTAGTCAAATTTGTATAGGACCTGAAATAAATCCCTTATGTAATTTCAACCTAAAGATATATGCAGAGTTATGGGTATGATTGTCCTCATGGGATTAACTTCAAACATAATTTTGTGGATAATTATTCTCTACTTTTTTTGTTATTATGAAATAAGTTATCATGCTTCCTGGAGTCTTTAGGCTCAAATAACTGCTTCTGACAGTGTATTAAACTTCAGTTGAATTCAGTGTAATTTCATCTGAACAAAAAAGTTCATTTTGATTGGATGCTTTTAGATGTTAACAGGTGTCTGAAGGTAGATTTGTAGATTTTTCACTTGTATGGATATTAATGGGATTCTTGCAACCATATCTTGATCTTTTAGCTACCTACTTCCATTTTAACAACTGTAAAGGTAAACTGTTATATAATCTCTATGCAAAGCAGGCTCCTTTGGGAGCAGAACAGCAGGGTTTTTTTGTTCTAAAACTCTAAAATTATTCTTACTGCCTACAGTAAACAAGGCAAGATGTATCAAATCCACTGTAGCTGCAATAATACTTGGCACCTAGAAAATTATTAGAAGCTTCTCTGCTTGGTGACAGAAAAGTAGAAAATCTGGGTGGAAAATGTATCAGTCATCTCTTTCATATTTCTTCTTGTTTGACAGTTCTTGCAGAATTTTGCTTGTCTTTTGTATTTCAAGGCCTATGAAACTTTTAACTTCTTTGGGAAACTCCCTTCAGATTTCACCAAATATATTTATTGAGTCCTGTCATAATGACACACTCGGTTTCAATTACTATGTTGGCAGTATTTCCAGGTTAGGCAAAAAAATTGCTAGGTACTAAAAACTACAGATCCTTTTTATATCATTCTGTGGGTAACATTTGTCCCTGTAGTAGAAATCAAGTTTGTTCACTTGACTCTGAAAAGAAATGTTACTGTTACTCAGTTACATTGAATAAATTCATTTAGAGTGAAGCGCTATTTTAGAATGTATGTAAATGATACTTCTTGGTTAGACGTTTGGGTCTTTCAGTTGTCTCTGCCATTAAACTTTGGAAACATTTTCAATATGCTGGTTCATTTAAAGTCAGGAATAGATTTTCCGATCAGGAAGGATAATTTGTGTAGACCTGTACATTTCAGTTCAGTGACCCAAACAAGATTCTCATTTGCACTGAGTTCTTTATTAATTCCTGAACTTTTTTTTCCTTTTCAATTCTCCTTTTAAATATCAAGATTGGCTAATGAAAGGCTTTCAGAAATAATCATGTAGCTAGCTGAGAAGTTCTTACTGTCAGAAAATGACAGAGAAGAAAAATTATTTCCTTACATATGTTTCAAAAAGAGATGAAACTCATTTAAAAATAGTGCTGCTGGGATACACTTTGTGATATTTTAAAAAGTGCTGCTAGAGCACATCTGAAAGAATTTATGTGTGCTCTACCTGCCTGAAATCTGTGTGTCCAGTTCTAGATATTAATTAAAGGTCTGTATTTTTTCTCTGCAGAAACACGATCAGGGCCAAGTTCTGTTGGATGTAGTCTTCAAGCATCTCGATTTGACAGAGAGAGATTACTTTGGTTTACAGCTTGCTGATGAATCTACTGATAACCCTGTAAGTTATCCTTTATAAAACTCTGTTTTAGAAGTACACTTTTAAAATTCATAATCATGTTCATTATTGTGCTTTGTGTTATTTGAAGAGAGTTAAATAGAAGCCATTGCAAAATTGTGCCATCTTCCCCAGCTCTGTCATTTGTGAGGGTCTCTATCATCTTGTAGTTATAAGAAAATTGCATGTTAATGGTCACAAGTTTGGAGTAATAAAATATTGAGTTCTGTGCTTATGAAGTAATTGCTTGTTTTATTGTATCTGTATACTAGATTGCATTATCATAGTCAAAAATAGTAAATCTCTTTTAGATTTTTTTTGTGGTTATTTTTGTCATTAGTACTTAGAGAATAATGAGGGAGTTTTAGATTGTCATGTATGGAATTTCTGTTTCTAGCCCAGATACCGGGTGATCTTTCAATAGTGCTTCATATAGTGCAGTATCTGACAAGGACAGATCATCTCATCACCTTAACAAAGAAGGGACTCCCTTGGAAATGAGCATTTACAGCAGTTCATTGGCTTAATTGAAAGGAAATTCTACACAAGTGAAACTTTGTAAATCATGAATATAAACCAAGAGATGCATATGTAACATTCACTGCACTAGTTACAGTGGTACTACTGGGATCTTGATTACCTAAAGAGTGCTTCTTGGATATTTTCTCTTATAAGTATCAAATGGTCAATACTTGTTTTGCAAAGTGCAATTTAGCTAAGTATTATTCCTTATAAGACAGTTCTTTACCTAATTCATATTATATGTGCAGCACAATGATGAGGTCAAAACTTAACTTCCCAACTTGTACATCAAATTCAGCCACACTCCCTTGTTGACAGTTCTGTTAAGATGTTGATGGACTGCCTCTGTAGTACTTTCATTCTAGCCTTTGTTTCGGGCTTAAAAAACATAAGCAGGCAGAAAAAAAGGCTGAATTATTTTTCAGCTTTTTAAAAGAAATATTTAACTGAATATTGCTCAATATTTCACTTGATATTCAGAAATTTATCTGGCTTCCAAAGGGTAGGCCTCTAAGCTCTCTTTCTTTTAGTTTATCAGTCTGGGATCAGATGAACACAACACTGTAATACAAGGATGTGATTAAGGGTTAGTCTGAAAGAATGGCTTAAGAGGTATTTGATACAAGCACATACTTTAAAGATTTTTTTGTTGTTTTTTTCTAAACATTTTGTCTCTTCAGCACATATCTAGTTGCCATGAAAACAATGTGTCAGAGCTAAAAAGAAATATTACCAATATTAGTCATGCCAACTTGAAGAATGTATGGGTTTGAATAATTTCAGGTTTTGATACACATTTACTTTTACACTTGGTTCATTTGGACAAGGAAACCATATTGGGTTGACAAATATTCTAATTACTTGTGAAATAACACAGCAGAATTTTACTAAGATGTAGTTAATGCAGCAGCATATAAAGATTATGAGGAAAAGGAGATTCTGCTAATAGAGTGTGACACCTCTAGCATTGTGTTTAAACATGGATCTCATGAATTGCAGAGCCCTTGTGATTTTTTATAATATTAATATCAAAGGAAGAATCAAGTATCTGTCAAAATGTTTGGAAAGATTCTTATAAAAAGTACATATATATCCCTGGCTAGAGTGTTTTTTAAGCTTTTACATTTAGTCTTAAAAGTTAATTGATGCTGTATGAGGCTTTTTTTTTTCAGATATTCACATTCTTGAGACTGTATAAAACTCTCTTTTTACTTCCACTTGAGTTAACTGCTACCAGGATACAGCATGTGGATCTAGTCATCATTATTTGTTATTCCTCATGACTAAAATGACACAGGACTAACTTCAGATCCATATTGTGTGTCAGATAGCTCAGGTACCTGTGTGTCTGCTTCCTCTTCCCTCACCTGAAAACAATAAAAAGCCCTGTGATAAGTGTGAGGGAGTCTCACGCTGTACTGGGTCAGATGTCTGTCACTGCATAGGAGCTGTACTCAGGTAACAATTTCCTGAGGCTTGAGGACTTGCCTTGCAAGCAGCACAAGGAATTGAGCAGTATTTATACCAAAGATAGACTTAGGAGTTACCTGGACCATGTTGGTGTGTACAGAGACTGCTGGGTTGCTGATGGGCAGTGGTTTAAACAACTTGCAGAGCTTTCCAGGCAACTGTACTTTTATCTGAAATTTGCCACATTGATTTTTATAACAATGTGGCAGCAGTGTTCTCCTATAGAAACAATCAATATTTGGAACTGTTCAGTAAAATTATTCTGTAGTCCTAAATCCAGGAGCCTGAGTACCTAGTCTCTGACTTCCAAGCTCCAGTTAGTGATGTAGCAGTGCTGACACTCGGGCTGACAGTTTGAGCCGGTGGGATCACTCCCTGGGTGTGACAGACACGCAAAATCCAGACTCAGAAGTACTGGAAGTAGTCAAACAAAGTAACTTCTGAGTTGGGTAAATGAGCCTGCTTACAGCTCTTCAGCTACTTTTTAAAGAGTAGCTTACAGTTGTTAAACACAGCCTGGTTGGGTTCTGACCTCTCTCAGGCTCCTGTGACAATCGTGGGAGCAACTCAAAGTGGAATTACTGCTGTAAAATAGGTATCTGGACAACATAGGTTAATCTTGGGGAAAGAAAAGCAGTAGCAGTTGTTGATGATAGTGATGATGTCTCCAGAATCAGTCATAAGTCCGTGAGGCATTTTGGTAAAAGACCAAGTAACAAGTGATACGAAAGCACCAGTTTCTTGATATATAAGGCTGTGATTTGTACTTTACTTCTCTGAGGTTGTTGTTACAATTTGTCTCTTTCCAGAGGTGGTTGGATCCAAACAAACCTATCAGGAAACAATTAAAAAGTGAGTAATGTATGTATTTTGTCAATTCATCTATTGTTATTATGCTATTTTTCCAGGGTGCCCTGATTAATTAGAAATAACTTTTCTTGACCATAGGAGGATCTCCTCACAGTCTGAACTTCAGAGTTAAGTTTTTTGTAAGTGACCCAAACAAGCTCCAAGAAGAATATACAAGGTAGGTCTGGTTGCTTTGTCAAGATAATACTTCTCTAGAACAGTCATTAATTTCTTTAAGGTATAACATGGAAATTTTTTTTTAACTCGTTCTTGTTGTATGTACAAGCTTCTAAGTTTTGTCTAATAATTACAGATATGAGCTATGCAGTTGTACCAAATCAATATAACAAAAAACCTATGTGAATAAACTTATGAATTTATATGCAAAGTGAAGTAACTACATGAAGCAAATGCTACCAAGTAGAAGCAGAAAAAGGAAAATAGAGAAAAGAAGAAAAACTTAATCCCAGTATTTACAAATAAGTACAAATTTAATTCTATCCTTCTTTGTGTTCTCCTTTGTGACTAAAAAATTGCTGAGCATTATGCATTTTTTCCTCCCCAATTTTCTACTTAGAACTAATAAAATTAATCTCTCTGTGGTTGTATTTGTAGTTTGAATCCCGTAAGCTTATTTTGGTAGCAGTGTGTTGAAATCTGTTAAAGAAAATGCTCAGTGTGAATCAAAATCAGAGGCTTGTGAATTGCAATTAGTCCCTGAAGAAATGCCTCAAATTTTCCATATTTTTAATTACTTCTGGCCCTCTACATAAATGGCACGAATTGACAGATTTTGGAAGTCAGCCATTCTGAAAACAGGTCAGCCCCATTCAAAAAAATTGAGGATAGCTTTTGAAACCTGAGTACCAAAACTGTGATGTTTTGAATCCACATTTGTTTATCATTGCCTTTAATTTGTTATATTTTGGACAAAATTCTGCACATATCTATGCAGACAGAATTCACTAGAATGAGCCCCAGAGATTCAATATGAGACTTTGTTTTACTGAAATATTTTTTCCAGGAAAATCTAGCCATTTACTCTATCAAAATATTGAACAATGAAAACATATTTTTTTTAATTAAGGGAAAATATCTAATATTCCTGAGGAGATGAAAAAAAGGATAAAAGTTAATCAGTGTGAAGTAAACCATAAAGAAGGAGAAAATTGGAGAAGTGTTATTCTGTAAATACAAAGCTATAAACACAGCTTTCTTTTAAATGAGAAATAATGTATGATTTCTGTATGTAGGTCAGCTCTGCCTTTTTTGCTAATAGGCCTAATTGCCCCTGAGAAAATTAATTTGTATTTGGAGTTATTATAAAGAGAGAGATATTATCCATGGACTTCTTTGGAGTGAAGTTAGGATGCCATGCCACAAATACAGCTCCTTTCACATAATCAGTATTTCCACCTCAAAAAAGGGAAAGAAAAGAAAGTGCGAACTTCTGACAATTCTGGCTGAGGCTGAGACTGTTCTGAAATGCTCAGTTTTTATAAATTCCATGAGAACAGAGGAGTGGCTCAACACATGAAGCAGTATGAAGAAATGTCAGGGAAAGGTTCAGTGTCTTGTTAGCCCTCTGCGTTCACATGAGCGAGGCAGCTTTGAATGCCCCAGGTCAGGAGAGGTCAGCAGGAGCTCAGTGTGTGCTGAGAGCTTCGCTTCAGGACCTTGGCTGGGGAGGGAATGGAGCTTCATTAGTGCTTCTCATGGCAGGAAGAATTGCTTATTAACGTTGACTCCATTAGCAATAATTCCATTCTCCCCTTTTCTAGCTATAGCTATATAAGCAAGATGAAAACACAGTAATGCAGTGCTGCCTTTGTGGTTTTAGTGGAGTCTGTTGTTCAGGCTTTTGCAGATCTGCTTTGCTAAAGCTTCTATTGATGTCCCATTTTGATCAATAATATGTGAGGCCTCAGTGTTCAAACTGGTGATTGGCTAACAAGCCATTAACCTCACTGTTCACTGAAAACAGTGGACAGAAGATGAACTCTGCTTGGCGTCCCTTAATCAAGATGTCCTTTAATTACCATGAAATATTTCTAATAAAGCTTTATACCAAAAAAATCTAAATAAAATGGAGGTGCAGCTGTAAATTTGTGAAGAGATGCTCAGGAAAAGCATGCAAACCATATCCATTTAATATATAAATTTAACTTGTAATTTATTGCATTTTTTAATCAGTAAAGGAATTTGCTTCATCTATTTTTGTTTCAGTATGCATTTTAAATATTTGAAGTATTTGAGATCCCTAAAGCCTGGCTAATGTCTAAGTTTTATCTTCTTATGATTAATATCTTTTTAACGAAACTTCTTGCCTTTCTAATCAATTAAAGAATCTCTAGATAGTTTTGTAGGGGTTGAGCACATGGACTAATCTTTGCTTGAAAGTTCACAAATGTTTTCCCTTACATTCTTACAAACATGGAATGTTTCACCTTTCTATTGTTATATAGCTTATAAATAATTTGATTTCTTTGTGAGTATTTGTAAATGTTTGTGTAAGACTTTAAGTGGTAGATAATCCCCTTTCTGAAGACTACACAGTTATGAGAAGTCATGTTATGTGTAATAAAGTGATATATTTTGGCTTTAATTTCTTAGTTGAAGTTGTTATTGGGAAATAAGTATTTAATATTTAGTGCTTTTCATAAGTGATATTGGTCTTTGTAATGAATGGGTATAGCCCAGCTTTTGAATCAGAACTACACAAAGGAAACCAGGTGATTATTATAATAGCAATAATGTAGGGTTTAAATTTATAAGAAAGCAGGAATGATGTTTAAATTTGCCACTCAGTGACACTTTTATTAAAAATTTTAAAAGGCATTGGAGACAAATTCTACAGCAGCTTTTATGCTCTGTTACAAGGATTTTTATTCTGAAAATTTAAGCTTTTGCTAACACCCTGCCACTTTGATAAATCTTGTTTGGTTCCCCACTGCAATCTCTAGTTCAGTGAAGCTTTGTAGCAGGCATGATTTGCCACTTTTTGTCCAAGATTCATTCTGAGATGTTAACAAAATATTTGAGTTTTGTTGGAGAAACAAATTAAGTAATTTAGAGGGAATTTTGTACTTTCTAGCTTGTTGGAGTTTTTAAGTCATGGTGTTTCTGGTGCTCCTTTTTGGTGGGAAGTAGTTTGTGTTTTAAAATGTTTGGCTGTTCATTTTCTTATATTAATCTCCTTCCTGATTTGAAAGAGTGGGTATGAAAAAACTAGATGAACTTCTAAAACAAGTTTTTTTCACATCATAATGTAAAGAAAACTTTAGAAGCTCAAGGGAAGTTAATTGAGAGGTGTTTGACACAATGGAGTCCACAGCATTTGTAATAACAATGTAACTCAAAAATACTAAGAATAATTAATATAAATGAAAACACAGCAGGATCAAATACTCAGAATAAATTAGTTCTGTCTGTCTGGAGTACAGATCATTCTTATGAGGGTACCTCCATGTACAGGTGCAAACTTCAACTTGTGGTTGCTGTATAAAGCAGGAAAAATGTGAAATTTGTAGCCTTTTAGTGAAATATGAAGTATAACTTTATAGCCTGTAAGTAATTTAATTTACCAAGTTGTATTATTAGTTTACTAAGCAAAGTTTCATTTCTTTCCTATTAGAGTTTAGGAAATAGCATGCAAAATGTCAAGTGTTAGTTTTATACTATCTGAAAGCAAATTACATTAAATTGATGAAAAATTATGGAGAAATTTTATCTTTAATAATAGTGTTTTTTTGTTTGCTTTTCTAAATAAGGTACCAGTACTTTTTGCAAATTAAGCAGGACATTCTTACTGGAAGGTAAGACATTTTTCTTGTGTTCAGGATTAAATGCAATTCTGGGCAAGGAAAAGTTCATAATGAGAGATTTTGCCTGCAAAAATAAAAAACATATTAAGAATAAGTCACTGTCTATGCAAGTGTAAATATTTATAATAATTACCTGTCAAATATGTCCATAGACTATAAAAGACTAGAGTTTTCACAACAGCCAAATGTCATATGAAATATGTAATTTTATTTATTTATAATTTTCAAAACAGATTGCCCTGTCCTTATAATACTGCTGCTCTTCTGGCTTCCTATGCTGTTCAATGTAAGTATAATTTGTGTTTGTGTATTTGCTAGTACTGAAATCTATAAAAAGTCTTACTGATTAGTTTCTAAAGAATGTACTTTGTATAGCATTATGCTGTGGTGTTAGTGGGCATGGTGCTAATTTTCTCATGATTGAGGAAATTGATTGGTTGTCCTCCCCCCAGCATGATATGCTGAATTGGATACGGAAAAAATACTTAAAGCCACGCTGTTAGAAAACCCCAAATCAATACTCTTTTATTCCTGTGTATTCTGAGGCATGGAATTGTGGCTTTTGCTTTGAGAATGACACTAAGAAGTATTTCCTAAGACAGTAAAACATTTTTAACACACTGTGCAGTGAAGCTCCAAGTAAGTGTGGAAAAGGGAGTTCTGGCCTTATCTGACCAGAAAGTTCAATACCCATCTTGGCAATTGTCACCCGTCCAGTGAGTAGATGAGTCTTGAAAACTGAGATTTAGTTCTCTTCCTCACTCAGTTTTTTTTTCATAAACTGAAATTAAGCAATCCCAATATATTCATTCACATTAATGTGTTTTTCTACTGTTGAAGATACTTACCTCCACATTAGTACTTTATATACTTCATATATATCAGAGAAACAGTATCCATGTTAATACTTTCATAAAAAATATAGAGTAATGTTAATGTCATGTTTTATGCATGGTTTTGCTCGGTGGTCACCTTTTTGTAGGTGAGTCAATAGAGCAGTTTCTCTTAAACAAAACTCCCACACTTCAGCTGCCTGAAAAATGTACTGCAAATGCTGTCATGCCATAGGATTTGTCTTAGAAGAGATAAAGAGACAGAGATAAAGTATTTGATAACAGGAAATGTGAAAGTTTGATAACATTCTAAGGTTTTAAGAACAAAATATGGGTTTTTTTAAAAATATTGTAGAAGTGGTGGGTATGCACAGTGCACTGTATTTACATTTATCCATGACATTCTATTGCTGTTTTCTTCAGCTTGCAGAGCTCTATCTAATGATTCTGTACCTGCCTATTAGTTAACTTCCTGGCTTCTCTATAAATACATGTAAATAGCAGATCTCAGTCCAGTATTTTGGATTTCATCAAGGAGTGCATTCTGTTATAAAACCTGGTCCAGTTTTCTAGATTTTAAATTATTAAAAGTAGGATCTGTTTGTGGTGTTTAAGTGACCAGAGGTCTTTCCTACTTTCCTTTCCTTTTCTCATCCTCCTGCTCAATAAGTGTCTTCATCTGCCTTGTCAGTGCTGCTAGGCCTGCCCAGGACCCCGTATCATGATATATTACTGTTATCTATCTACTTTTCTTTTTATGTTTCTTATCTATCACTGTTGATCTGTTACATGGATTGCAGATATTTTTTTTTTTCTACTGTAGTTAGCCTCAAAGAATTTTAGCAAATGTTGTTTATATGTTGTTTTCTGACAAATGTGATTGTAATCTATTTCTTATAATTTTAGGAAAGTGTTACAAATTATTTAAACACACTTTTTAATAGTTTCAAATAGAGTAGTTTCAATGTAGGTGTATGTATGTGTACTTTGTTTCATACATACAATTTAATGTACAAGAAATATTTTTCTAATGCTTCTGAATGTGTCTTGGTGCAGAATGAGTGGCTGGATTTTGCAGATCTTCATGACAAAATAGCAGTTGTAGTGTTAAAAGAATAAAATTGTAATCACATGAAAACATGCAAAAGTAAAATAAGAGAAAATTGAATACTATCCTATATATATATATATATATATATATATATCCATATATATATCCTACTTTGTGCTAGCTCTAATGACAGCATTTATGGATTAATTTGCCTGATAATAATGAAACACTTTATGAACTCCTTTCATGAGTGCATAATCAAAGCCCTCTCTAAATCTCAATATTCACTGACAATGTGACTGTTTATTTAAAAGGAAAAATGGGAATCCAAATATCTTCTCTGTTTTTCTTTGCTGTGGATCATAAATTATGTGGGAGCAAACTCGTGTGAATTTGGGGGCATTGCACAATGCCAAGTACATCAGTGATAAACAATAACCTCTCTTTTTAATATTTTAGCTGAGCTGGGAGACTACAACCATTCAGAAAACTTGCCAGGCTACCTCTCAGAATATTCTTTCATCCCTAGCCAGCCTCAAGACTTTGAAAAAGAAATAGCAAAATTACATCAGCAGCACATGTAAGGATTTACATCAGAAGATACTGACTTTGTCAAATCCTGACTGCTGATGCTGTTCTCTTATATAAAACAAAACAGTATTTTTTCTTAAAGGTTTTGAGGTGGGTGGGTTGTTGGGTTTGTTGGTTGGTTTTGGTTGTTTCTTTTAAGATAATGTGATTTTTCTTTTTGTAGATTAAATACCTATCTAATAAATACTATTATGGTCTATATAGACTATCAGTATCTAAATTAGTGAAAGAATGAACTTGTTAAGTTAGAGGTTCTCTGAAAGCAGTGTTTGTGCATATAATGTTGGATATTAACTTAGCCGGATATATTTTCTTTAAGATTTTTTTTTCAGTCTTTGGGAATGTTCTGAGCATAAGGGCTTTGTTTTCATGATACTCTCACCATTAAAAGAGTTACTTTAGAAGTAACAAAGTCCTTTTCTTCAACATCTGCTCTTTCCTGCATGCGAGTCTCTGACCTTTCAGAAAGAGGAAAAGGCAATGAAGCAATGGAAAATATTTTTTTTCAATATGTAAAGTTGTGGTACTTTCCAGTGATGGTTCCTTCCTATTTTAGAACTTAAGTGCCTTTTGTTAGTTAAATTTAACAAAATGTAAGCAATATTTATAAAGCATTTGCTTGGTCACGTCATGTTGTTTGCTTTCAAAACTACAGAATGTTCCTTTAAGTTTGAGATAAAGGCTTAGAAAATTCCCTTAGCTGTGTTAAAGATATTTGAGTGAGTTTATGGTAATTTAAATTGCCAATGCCAAATACAGGATTGTAAAACTAATTTCCAGATTCTAGGGATCCACAAACATTTAAATGATAATGTGCATTAAAATAAAATGTATTGTGGGCTCTTGTCAAGACTTCTGTTCTTTTGGAAACGTAAGTTCTTTTCTGTTAAAATTTTTGCGTTATAGTCTGTTTATCATGAGAAACAAAATTCAGATGTCAGGGTGGGGATAGAAGTAGTAAAATGAATGCAGATTTTCTGTCTGCACTCATTGATGTGGGAGGTTGTGTTAGAACGTTTCTGATTTAGCTGCTTTCTTTCAGAGGGTTGTCTCCTGCAGAAGCAGAGTTCAATTATCTCAATACAGCACGTACCTTAGAACTTTATGGAGTTGAATTGCACTATGCCAGGGTAAGTTTGGATGAACCAGTGTTGCAATGTAAAAATATATTCCTCTGAGATTTATGGAAAAACACACTTTTCTTCTTGTGAGCCTTCCTGGCTTTTGCTGACAAGGGAAAATAAAAGAAAAAAATATTATCTTGTAAGGTGCCTAACTGGGACACTGGACACTGATTGAATATCCACTGTTTCACTATAGAGAGGGTATTTCTTTGCTCATATTTGTACTTAGTTATCTCTGTGTTAATCAGGTTGAGCTTTGTTGCCTTGAATGTTATATTGAGAGTTCTATATACCAGGTGCTTGATTAGAGTGCAGAGGTAGTTCAAGAAAAAAGTGCTATTTAAATATACAATATTGTTTGTTTTAGAATCTCTCCTCTCTGTGTTCTGAGATTGCAATTTCCTTCAGGTAGGAATTAAAGTTGCTGGTTGCTTTTAGTGTAGCAAATGCCAGTTTATTTGTGCTGCTATTCTTAATAAGTCGGAATACTCTCATATTTATTTCATCAAAGTTGGTGAAAGACAGAAGATCTGACTTGAGAAATTAAAATTTTGTGGTAGCTTACAAGGAACTCGGAGCAAACATTCAGGTTTGTCCTAAATAGGAGGGAAGAATTTAATTTCTTATTTGTCTGATTAGAACACATTACCTTCCACATTATTTTGTGTATTTAGAGCGAGATGAGAATGAATATATATGACGTTTCAAAAGATACTTATACTGTTCTTCAAGTAATTTTCTCTTTTCTTTTAAAGGATCAGAGTAACAATGAAATAATGATTGGAGTGATGTCAGGTGGAATACTAATTTTTAAGAACCGAGTACGAATTAACACCTTTCAGTGGTAAGGAGTGCTGTTTAATGTTTTAATTTGCTATTTCAAAATGTTTTTACTACTCTTAAAAAGACTGAAACTTAAGTAGTTTCATATCATGTTGAAATTCATCTCATGTGCCATGGGGAATTTTGTGGGGGGGTTTTGTCCTGGTCTGCATGGTGTGCTGTTAAACAACTTTGAAACTGTAATGAAACTGTAATGAATTCCGTGCTCTTTTTCTTCAGGAGTTTGTAAGCATATTTTACTTTTAATTAACTATGTAGCTAGGGCAAGTGTGTTGGTAGGGCAAGTCTTTAAAGAGACAGGTGAATTGAAAAATACTAACCTGGAGACTGACTGCTCTTACCTGTTTTGTGACCTATAAATTAATTGTAGTGTGTGTTTGAAATTTAACATAGTTATGGTACTTGTGAATAACTGAGGTGGAGCATTCAGGATATTGTCATCTCTTCATCTGTAAATAACCATGTTCATTATATGATCATAAAAGTGCATTTACTGCAGAAAATCTTTACATCTCTAAATTCTGTAGAAGTGCTCTATAACCTCTCTCGTGCTCTATAGAGATTTCACCTTTCTGGAAATGCTTTTCTTAGTTCCTGCAGAAGTAACCTTCCTTTGGTTTCCTTGGAGTCCACTTTGGCAGCCTTATTACTTCTGTTGCTGAGTTGCTGTAGCTGCATTCTCAGTGGGTGTAATATAAGATTGTCATAGCAGACATTAGTTCACCAGGAACAAAAGTTGTTCATTCAAGAGAAATGATCAGAACTGTTCATTTGCCACTGATTTTGCATTTTACTGATTTTGCATTTTTGTTTGCTGCTTATGTGTGCTTGATTTTTTCTGCAACCCAGTGAATTTCTGAGATATTCTGGTTTTCTGTGCTAAGCTTAGTCTCAAGGTTCATTGTAGGAAATTACATATTTTGTGATTTACCAAGATAAGAAACAGTGTCATTGGTTGAATTTTAGTTGATTTTTGGAGAGAAATAAAAAACAAAGCTATATCAAAATGTTATCTGCAGCCAGTACAACTGAATGTGGTGAACATTTTACTTGTATGCATTTGAAGGAAAGTAAGTCTGAGACATTTACAAAGCATTTAAATTTCTGGTCTTCATGGCTATTGGGTAAATTAAAACTGGAGCTTGCAATGATAAACCTGAATCTACTGTACCAGTCAGTCAGACTTGCCCTTATAATAGTGACACATTCCAGAAAATATATCCTTCATGTGGTGTGCATTTTGAGATGTTGGAGCCATTTCTGGGCTAAGGCTGCTTTATAAATGGAATGCTGTAATAATCAGGAAAGTTTTATTTCAGTCTGATTTTTCTGCTGTTATTTTTGGGAAACAGCGATAGTAGAAATAGGTTCTGTAAATCACACTGGCAAATTACTGAGTACGTACAATCTAAGTCATAATTAAGCTACACGTCATTAATGGAAGTTGGAGGTTTCTCTGAGTTCTGCTTCATATTGTTTGCATGCCAGGGATGCTGATCTAAATTCTTAGTGTGTTTTTTTGTGTATGTGTAATTACCTAAACAGTTCTTCTTTGTATTCAGCCATATCAGCTGACACCAGGGATATTAATTTCTTGCTGTGAAAAAAAAAGTTCCAAAATAATTGGTCTTAAAAAAAAAAAAAAAAAAAAGAACCACCCTTCCCCATGTCACACTGTTAGAGGCTTTCTTTTGCTATGAGTAATAATCTGAAATACCAATTTCCACAATATAGCTCAATAATAGACCTATTACCCTTTCTTTCTGTCCATAATCATGCTGTTGGTCTTGTGCCACTAGTACTGATACTTCTTTTTGCTTCCACTTATTGTTGCTCCTATGCAACTGGAGCTGTGTAGTGTCTTCCCAGTGCTTTATAGGTATAGTAACTATTTAGATACCTGTTTTTCAATACTCCTGAGTTTTGAGACAAGTGAGAGAATAGCAATACATGCATATGGGAGGAAATAAAGATTTAACTGTATTGCTTAGAGAAAACTCAAGTAAAATGTCTTTGCCCTCTCACTCTTAATTTTGTATCTTAATTGCTCATTTTGATCATAAGGAGAAATTAAACAGGAGGAAGACAAGTGAGGAATAGGGGAAAACAAAGACACTGCCTTTTATCCACGTGTCCTATTTGATCTTCCTATATTCTATATAGTTCTTCCTTTCCCTAAACTTTGCTACCAGGCACAGAGACCTGGGAATCCAAGGAGATTGAAGACCAAAGGAGAAGATTATGTAGTACATCAGCCTTTCCTTTGTTTCTAGACCACTAGTTCAGCAGTTTGAAATGTGTTTTTCTTAGCCTGTTGTTTGTGGTTGATGTATCTCTGAAAAGCTTTGTTGCCTTTTGCATCCAGTGCCAGTTGCACCTGCAGCTGTGCTGTGGATCTCCTAGTTTTATCCCTGAATAATTAGGTGGTACTGTGTTTCTCCTTGGTCATCTGATCCTGCTTACACATCTTGGACACTTCCTTTTGTGTTTGAGCCCAGTCAGTAGTTCTGAGTGCATCTGGCTGGCCTCTTCTGGTGCTTGCATCTTTTCTAGCACATCAGGATTGTTCTGGATTGAGAAAATTGTCGTTTAAGATTGACTAGCTGTCTTCTATTCCTGTGACCCAAAGGCAGCTTCTGTGGGATTCTGCCCACCAGAACTCTGAACAAACTGGGGTTTCCTCTCCTGAACCTGTGGTATAGTCTGCTGCATCCCTCCACTTCCTTTCAGATCTTTAGCTTGGCCATCTCACAGCTGCTGGAGCTCTGTTTGTCTTTGGCTACTAAATCTGGACAATCCTTTCTTGTTTGTGAGTTGGGCCACCAGGAGCATCTTCCCTGAGTGCCTGGTCCAGAACCTGGGGCAAAGAAGTCTTGCTCAAGAAATGTGCTGGATTGCTTATGTCCTGCCTTATCACCCTCCCAAGGGTTGGGGTGGCAAAGCCCTTGTGAGAACCAGGGCTTGGTATCATGAGATTCCTTCCACGTGTTTGAGTACAATCTGCATTTTTGACTAGGATTTTAAATATCTCTTTCTTTTTATTATTTAGGATGTCTAAGGTGACTGTAGATGGGAAAATCACACCAGGAAAATAATATTGATGCCTTTCTGTTTTTATGCTTTTCCTTGGATATACAGCATTGCCAAGAGTCAGAGAAAGGAAGCATAGACAGGATGCCTTTTCCTTGGGCTGAGTATGGATATGCTCATTCAGTGCCTAGCAGGGTATTAGCAGTGCGTAGGAACTCTTATCTGCTGTATTTTTTTGAAATAGCTGGGAAACAGCTTTGCTGACTCATTCCTTTGTACTTGAATGGTGGCTCTTTTGAATTGAGTTACAGATTACTGGCTAATGTTACAGCTTTGAGTCTGTTCCAAATGGTTTCAGGCTTAAAAGTCAGCTGACCTCCCTCTGTAAGCCTAAATGATGGGATGACATTAAAACCCCATATGTATTATTCTTATTCTCTTTGAGTTTGTAAATCACCAAGGGTAGTAATTCCTTCTTTTAGAAGAGGAAACCCCTAAGAGTGAGAGATAGTAAATGTTTTTATAAATTGAATAATTGCTAAGTAAATGTGATATGTTGCAAAGTGTATGGAGGGCCATTTTTAGGAAAGGTATATATTAAAATGTTCTTTTAGTTGCACTATACACCAGTGTTAGAAAAATTAGTAATAACATACTTGTTGATTAGCTGCAGCCTAGTCTAATTTTTTTCTGTTTTTCCCACATGTTAATAATCACTAGTGTAATAATCACAATAATCACTAGTATATGTCTTATCCAATATAAGATCCATCCTATATTTTCCTTAAGCAATTTTTTGTCACAGGAGGTCCTAAGAAGATTGATGCATTGCCAGGGGAATAATTTTATTTCAGCAGATAAGATGTAATTCACCTTTAAGTTTCAAATCCTTGAGAAATGAACTCTGATAGCAAGAATTTGTTAAGAATTTAAGAAAAAAAATTCAACAAACAAATAGGAAAGTTATTACTGTTGCTTTTTTTTTTTTTTAATTGTTAACTGTTAAACTAATGGCAAATCTGGGAAAGAAAAAAGAATTGGGAAAATATGTAAATAACCATAATTTAAACACTAATGTTCGCAGAGTGTCTTTATGTTACTGCAGATAAAGACTCTCCCAACAAATTACGACATCCCACTTAGGTTCCTGCTCTGAATAATCCCCTGGAGAAAAATTGTCTTTATTTGATTTAGTTAAGATAATTTCTATATATAGATATCCAACTTGGATGTCTGTTAATGTTTTGCTCCTCATCCTTCCTGGCCTAAAGGGTTTTTTATTCAGCAAGTAATAAATATGCAAGTAGTAATTCCAGTCAGTTTGCAGTATTTTATCAGTTGTGCGTTTTTCAAGTACAAAAGTTACTATGTTTTTCTTTTTACAATTTGAACCTCACATTTTTCCTTGACCAAAGTGATACTCTTGTATATTTAATAAAATATATGGACTATCCTAATATTATATTTCTTTGAAGAAGTGTATCATTAGAGTGTGATGAAAATACAGCCTGTCTTTCCAATTTTGTATAACTGCTATTAGAGTGACCATCCAAAACAGTCTGGAATTAGTGTCAGTATTTCATATGTTTATAGATACCCTGAAAGGTGAACATGTCTGTAGGCAGATTTTTCCCTGTCATGTGATACTGTAAATGTTGTTTTCCTCCTAGTAGTTTGATTAATTTTTTTAAGGTTGTGAGTCCTATCTCTGTGCTTACATCTTATCTTAACTATTTTACTAAAACAAGTTCTGGTTATATTTAAAGACATGTAAGAACATAGAGGAAGCATGTCTTTCAGGGATCAGGTGAAGTTCAATGGATTTTTTTCATATTTTAAGGGATAATGAAAGCAGCCTCAGAAAAGACAATATCTGCCTGGAATGACCTGAGGATAGAAAAGCTCTTTGGGCTTTGGAATGGGGAAAAGATATCAAAATTAGCAACTGCCTTGGGTTTGGGATGTAAACAAGTGAATTCAATGGATAAAGTAAATACAAGCTCATAAATTTCAAATTAGACAAACTATTTTATATAATCTTTGATATCTTATTTTTTGTCCATGGAAAGGAAATCTGTTCTCTTTAGAAAGTATATTTTCAGTAGGTGTATTTAAGCCTTTAATCATGATGCAGTGTATGAAATGTTTTAATATTGTGGATTTGTTTTTCATTTAGGTTGAAGATTGTGAAAATTTCTTTCAAGTGCAAGCAGTTTTTTATTCAACTTAGGAAAGAACTGGTGAGTATCTGTCTTAAATTCGATCTGAAAGCAATGAAATTTCTTCTACTGCATGTCTGCATTATACTGACTGATACTATGTTGATTCTTGGTTTTGTCTGCAATTGAAAATCCAGCTTCTCCAACATTCTGGCCGTTTCATGTTTCAAATAGACCATTATAATGCTTTATAAGTTTTCTTTTTCATTTGATTTGCCTTATATTTTAGATACTTTTAGTTTTACATTTGTATGCAGGAAATGTAACTTGTTTATGTAAAATAAATGTGGAAAAGGTTGATAGTAAATCAATATTAAATTTAAATTTTATGAAAAACCAGACTCAAACTAGAGGTAGTGCTTAGTGCTGCTTCAGTTGTATGTATGCTTGTAAATTAAGGTTTGATAGACATGTTGATTTTTATTGTTCAGATTTGGTAATACTTGATGACTTTATTACTTATATTTAAACAGAAGAGATAAGAATTCCTTTGTAGTTCTAAATTACATATGGTGTAATTTTATGCCTACTTGGAGCTGAATGTCTCATGGTTTGAGGTGTGTGTTTGCTACCCCATGAAGCACCACTGGACCACTGAGCATTTAATTCAGCAAGAAATGGATTGTTCTGTGCCCCTGAGAGATGAGCTTCCAGGATTGTTCTGTGCCCCTGAGAGATGAGCTTCCATTACAGACATAACACTGGGGAAAGATGGAGGAATTTATTAAAAATATGACTACGTGATTAACTTGAAAGATTGGTGAAGAGGTTTTTTGCAGTTCTTACATCTGAAAGGATTTACTGTGAGGATGGTAAGATACTGGAACAGGTTGTGGATGCTCCAGCCCTGGCAGTGTTCAAGGCCAGGTTGAACGACCTGGTCTGGTGGGAGATGTTCCTGCCCATGGCAGGTGGGTTGGGATTTGATGATCTTTAAGGTGTCTTCCAACCCTTAATGTTCTGTGATTCTTTGATTGAAGACTTGAAATGCAGAGTTACGGACTAGATATAAAAGATGACACTAGGCAGAAATGCATCTTGACAACCTTAAGGCTGTTCCGGTTTTGGGACAATGTGGTTAAAGAAGAGAAACACCTTTTCTGTCAGGTCAGGCCAATGTCTGGTGGCTGGTATTAGTGCTGAAAACAGGAGTCATACAGGTGTACAACATGTGCATCTTAAAAGCAGATCCTTTAAAATCATGAACTGAGCAGGTCTCAGTGTTAGCAGACATGATGCAACATGAGCAGAAAAGTGGTGATACAACAAAGGGGGAGGGGGAATGTTTTATTGGGGGGACACAGTATTTTTGTAAAAACCTTGCTGGAGCTACAGTCTTCTCAAAGGCAGTCTGAGGTCAAATTTTGTCGTGACACCAGTGTGTGTAACTTCCATTACAGTTGCAGGAAAGTTGTATTTGCATGTGAGATGAGAATTTGTTTTTTTTTTTTGGAATTCAGAAATTATGGACTATAGTTGTTTTCTGAATTAGAACTTGATGAAAATGCTGTGTTAGCAGAGTTGAGTATCTTGAAGATTAAGATACCTAGATATAAAATAGGATTGGATACTGTATAATTGAGTATTTCCTCTATTTTCTGCAGAAAAGAAATTGCTTATAATAGAAGGTAATACTAAGACAGCTTTCTCATCTTATTTCACTGTTACTTTCTAACACTCTACATATTGTTACTTGCATGAGAATGTAGTTTATATAATTAATGTGATTTCTCTTCTGAGACATCTTATCCAAGCCAACAAATTAAAAAGCCTTGTAGTGTTTTTCTTTAAACTCTGTGTATCAGATGAAAACTGGTGGCAAGAATTTAATTTTCATTTATTCCAAGTCATGAATATCTTAAGATCAAAGCGCAAATTTGGGTTCCAAAGAAGTCATACTTAAACTAATTGTTTAATCATTGCTAATATTAAAATTGTTTCCACAGTTACTTTCCCTGTCTAGAATTGTAGGATAAGATTCATCTCACCTATATTCAGCTTCAGTTAGGTTTAAGGAACATATTTTCTGAATCGTGATACTTGGCTCACCAAAGCTCATCCTTACATTTCTTCTGCAATAATCACATACAAAGGCTGTTACGTCTTGCCTGAACAGGAAGTATGTTTTAGGATGGATTAACTTGCTCTCTGGTGGTATATTCTTCCTTTTGCTTTTGTTTTTCCTCCCATTAACAATAAAGGGAGCCTGAATGACTCTCTTTAGGCAGCAGAAACTAGGTGAAGTGAGTCAGTGATTGCACATTTGGTATGTAAAATATCTCTGGTCTAGTGCTTTGAGTGCATATTTTAAATCACCTATTTATGATATGGCAGGGGAAATACATTCATGGTATGCTGATGATGTGTTTCAAACTGGTGTGTAAATATATAACAAATTATACATCTGAGAAATTGCATTTATTTGAATGCAAAACTGAGATCCTGTAGAATATTAAGTCAGTGGACTTGGGAAAGGAATTTTCCGCTGGTTTTATTTTTTTCCCAACAGGGGTATATACAGTTTTATATAATTCTAAAAAGATATTTTTCCAATATTGTTAGTAAGTATTGAGAGCTTTTAATTACAACTGTCCTCAAAAGTGCAAGTGCCTTATCTTGTAATCGCCTATTAAATTTATTCGCTGACTTGGCATGGCTTAAAGGCATCAACATAAGTAAAGAATTATTTGCCTACTTTTATTAGATTATATCTGTGTTTAAATAAATCACTTAAATGAAGTGAGATGAAGCAGTTGAATGTCTCAGTCATTTTCCAGTGGTAGTATAATACAATCTTGAGTAGAGGCTGGTGGAGTATTCTGACAATCATATGGCTGGAGCATATATCCACTGGAGTAGGCTTTTTTCCCCCATTGTGTTTTTATGATTTTGTGGGGGAAAAGCATGTTATGTGTAGGACTTCTTCATCCAGCATTAGAAGCCCCCTGGGCCATTACTTCAATAACATTTTTTTTCATCCTATCTTACCTTGTTCTGCCTGTTCTGTATGCTGCTTTCCTTACATGCTTTGAAGCTGCTTTAGAATAATTCAGTAGTTTTATTTTTCTAGATGTTTCCCTAAGCTTCTCTGGTTCTATTAGTTGCACCCTTGGCTGTATTAATGTCAATAGCCAGAATCAAGCTCTTAATGCCATTCAGCCTGTTTTGGTGATCTTGATTCTTTGACAGCCAAAGAAGCTGTTCAACGTCTTTTGCTCTTTTAGAAGGCATATATCCATTGAAAAATTACTTGAGTCTGGAAGTAAAGAATATGATAGGTTTCTGACCATAACCAAAACCTGATTTCAGTGAGTGGCCAAGATAATATCTTTTTTTTTTTAATTTTAGGTCATGTATCTGAAGTTTGTGCTTTGAATTTTGTCTTTTTTTGACTGGCTTTTAGAAAGAACTTGGTCTGAAATCACAAAGTGGGCATGGGCTTACCTGTCCAAGTACATTCTTGATCTTCAGTAGCACTGGCATTCATTAGATGCCTACTTGATTGCTGCCTAATCCTATCAAAAATTGTGTATTGCTTTTTTTTTTTTATGAAGAGCAAATACTGCTGGCAGAAGTATATTTGCTCCATTTAAGCTTTCACAGGACTTTTGCCCACTATTTCTGGAAGATGCTGAGTATGGGGAGCATCTGCCATTATAAAGCACAAGTTTTTTTGTCTCTCTGAGATGGTGTAGAAAATTTCTGCCCTTTTTTTCTGGGATTTTTCCTTGTTTAGCTAAAGTAAAAGGGTCTCATTAGAGAGTAAGTTTTTCAACCCAGTTTCTTTCCTGAGCAGCAAGAGATTGGAGCAGTACTCTGGAGTTACTTTTTCAAGGCAGGCAAAGGTGGGTTTGAATGAAAAGCCCACTCTAGGTGCTTACACAAGTACTGAGCTGTTCTGTGTGGGAGGAGCACCAAAATCCTGTCTGTTTTTTTGTTGGGTTTGTATTTTTAATATTAGGAATCACAAAGATGACTTGGACTTCACTATATCCTACCTCTATTTGTCTTAACTGTAGTTTTGTGCTGGGGCCCAGGTTTTCATTCATTGCATCCCAGCTGCTTCACTCTTTCTCTGCATGGCAAGCAGACTGTTTTTCTCTCATTAATAAAAACCACAGACACAATTAGTAAGATAATATTTTTGGAGCAGAATCCTGCTGTGACTCTGACACTGTCTAACGCTGATCTCAATAGACATAACCCCCTGAAAAGCCTGCATGTCACTATCAGACCATAGAGCATTCTGCATCTTGCTGGATCCTAGTGTTGTGAAAGCATTCTGTGGGCTGCAGGGCTGCAGTATACTGCCCTTTTACTTTATGTGCTTTCAGCTGAAGTACCATGGATATTACAAATGTCAGCTTGGAGCCCTGTGCTGAGCCTGAGCCCACGGTGATTCAAGTCTGCTGTTTTCCAGGAATACAGGGGCAGCCTTACTTTAAATCCAGCAGTAGAACCCAATCTTGCAACCCAGAATCATCAGCTAAAATGAATTTCAAATGCCCAAGTTACACTGGAATATTATAGAACCTTCAAGGGTGGATAGGGGGGGGATGAGTGCACTTAGGAGCCAATGGCATATATGATTCTTTACCTTAAACAATGTTTCCTAGCTGTAATTGAGATGGAGGGTAGGGTTTGAGGATCAGTTCTCCCTGCACAGCAATGAAAGCTTTAAAAGCTATGAATAGAACTATTGTTAAGGTACCTTTAAATCTCTAGCACACCAAGTTCCTGTGAAAGTGCTGTCTCGCATTACAATTAAGTTGCTCCTGCTTCAACTCCTTCTCATCCTGCTATACCAGCTCCTCCTTCATGCTTCATGTCTGATCTAGTGATCAGATGGTGGGATGAGATTCAGATCAGCTCGTTTTCTGGCATACAAACTAGGGGAAACAGCAGGTTATTTTTTTTCCCCAACCCATAATTATAATACTTTGAATGACATTAAAATGCATGATCACCAGCTCATGTAACTTGTCAAATTTTCATTTCCAACTGTTTAAAAGGCTGACAGAACATGAAAATTTGCTACATCATGATTACTTGTTGCTAGAATCTAAAATCTTAGCTGTTTCATTCTTTATTGGATCCAGAGGAAGGCAGTCCATAATTATACATAGTTGCTCTCTTGAAGAATAGTAATCAAATTTGTTTATATTGTTTGACTTTTATATTGTTAAGGCCTTTTATAATTGCATAGGTAATTGGCTTAATTTCTGTTATCTTGTTTCTGATTTCTAATTTTTAAATCATTCTGTTCATACGTCTAAAAAATACGGGGAACGGTTAGCAATACATGGAAATTAAAAACAGATATATAAGTAATCTTTGTAATTGAAAAAAATATTATTTCATTTCTTGAATATAATTCCTTAAATTTCATCAATCAATACTTAGAATTTGCTGTTAGTTTAAAATCCATTTTATTTTGCCCTAAACTTGTCCTGTGGCTGAAAATAGTGTTCTTGTTCCCGAATAAAACACTGGGGGAAGAAGAGGAGGTTTCTGTGCCTTGGTTTCTCAGCAGATCTGAAGATGAGCAGACCCACAAAAGCTTAGCTTGGAAAAGGACTTTACTACTAAGTTAAATCAGTTAAGGTGTGAAAAATGTTGGGGAGAATTTAGTACTGTGAAGAGAAAGAAAAATGGACCTATAGAGGTTATCAAGCTCTCTCAACAGGCACAATAGCTTGGGTTGTTTTGCCATTTTGCTTCTTGCATTTCCCAAGAATCTAATTAATCATTTAGAAGTAAGAACTGTCAGTTGCTCTTGAGATCAATACTTGTTCCCAATCTCCAACTGCCACGTGTTCATGACAATTACTCATCTTAACTGTAGTTTTGAACAGAGAGGCACATTGTCTTTGAGCTCCCAAATAATGGAATACTTTTCACGTAGTTTGGGTCATACCTTTTAGACTTGTTCCTATATAACTAAACAGACTGTTAATCTTTGTGCAGGCTGTTTTTAATACAAAAATTACAAAGATATTTCAAAAGAGTTTGTTGTACATAAAGTTAATAAAAAATTAAGAGTACCATTTCAAAAATCATTATTGTAAAAAATATCTCAAAGCCAACAATATTTATTTTAGTTTCAAAAAGTACTTTGAATAATTCTTATGTGAAATACATTTTTCTCATTTTTAGCATGAATCTAGAGAAACATTACTGGGATTCAATATGGTGAATTACCGAGCATGTAAGAATTTGTGGAAAGCTTGTGTTGAGCATCACACGTTCTTCCGTTTGGACAGACCTCTCCCACCTCAGAAGAACTTTTTTGCACATTATTTCACTTTGGGTTCCAAGTTCCGGTACTGGTAAGTGCGGATTTGAAATATATGGGAAAAAATATGAGTAGTGAGCTCATCAATAAACACAGGGAATTACCTAGAATATACATTAAAACATAATTCAAATGGGTTTTAAATCCTGCAATTGTTCCCGTTCCCTGTTGGCCTAAGTTTCAAATGTCACTAATTTTTAAAGATAGCTTGAAAATACAATTATTATACTATTAGTGGTCATTATTACACTAGTGCTCTGAGATTGTCTCCCAAGCTGCATTTCTTGGCCTGTTCTCCTGCTGGGTTATGTTTATCTTAAAAGTATTGTCTCAAACCTTCAAAGTCTTTGACCTGGTCTTTTTCAAACAGTTGAGTCTCAGATACTGCATGCAGCAGCACCAACAAAACAGACCTAAATTAATACCAATTACAAATTGCTGGAAAGAGGTTGTACAAGTAAAGCCCACTTACCTACATGTATATGAATAGGAATTAGGTGAAAACAAAGGACATACATGTTCTGTTTCAAACCCAGAACTTTAGAAAATTAGGAGGAAATTAAATCCAAAACCTTTAAGGATGAACTTAACAGGCAAAAAGCTTGGAAGTGCACAGAATGACTGTGCAATAGCTATAATCCCTGTAATGCTGGAGTGGGTGGTTTTGGGTTTTGCCGGTTTGTACTTTTTATTTAAAAAAAAATTCTGTGCAGTGACTGAATTAACTGTTTCTGCAAGTAATGAAGAATGCCAGTGGTTTAAATTGTGCCTAAAACAGAGAATAACAGAGCTAGTACTAATCATCCATCTAGAATGGCAGTAGTGTCTGTGACGTACAAAGGGACATGATGAAAAGCTAGAAAACAGAATAACAGGCTATTTCTGTCACACTTGTGAATTGCATAAATCTATAAAGAGGAAAGTAATTCAGTGGCTAACTGTTTATAGCATCTGTTTTTGACCAGCATTCATAGTACCCATTTGAGAAACAGCATTCTGTGATCCTGAACAGTGTTTGAGACTTGATTCAATGTTGCTGTAGAGAATTTCAGGGAGCTTTTTCATTTCTATAAGGATTTTGAATCTGAATCATTGTGGTTACTATTACAGAATAGCTCTTTGATGATGATGTTCAACTTAAGTTAACATAAGATGAAAAGGGAAACTGCATAAAAACGAAGAAGGTCATTAACGTTGCTGGAACAGCCAAAAGGCTGGAATTTCTGCAAGTAGTTTGAGAGCTTGTTCAGAGGCAGCATAACAGGAATAACATGGCTCACAAAGAGAGGTTGAGGACACTAGACTTGTTTAATCTGTTGAAGAGGAAGCTAAGGGGCAATTCATCAGCAATCCTAAAGCTACTTCAAGAGTAATGTTAGTACTGATGGAGCCAAAGGTGCTGGTAACAGGCAGGTGAGATTTTGCCACTAAGGTTCTGGATGGACATGAGGCAAAGTGTTTGGTTCTTTTTAGAATTGTGTTGTCAGAACAAGTCACCTGGACTGGCTGGGAGATCTTTGTTGGTGGAGGCTTTCAAAAGTCGGCTAGACAAAGCCTTGGCCAGACGTGACCTAGTGTTAGTAAGAGATTGGACTAGAGATTCTAGCCAACATTTGTATGATCAAAAGGAGTCAGTAAAATACAGAACTGATAGTTCTAGACAGAATTATCTTCTGAAAGAAATTGGGGACATGAAATTGTTGATATAACCTATTTTCGTTGGTCTAAAATACTTCTATGCATCAAATGTTAGAGAATATTTAGTTGTTTTTTTTTTAAATAAATCTACCAAAACGGATCTAGAAGACCGTTAGTGAGCAAAGGTGGCTTCTGTACACTGTCATTGGATTTTTCTAAGTGGTTCTTACAGTGTTCCTCACCAAATACTCCTGAAAAAATGTGAAGAGTTTTGCTGTGTATTAGCATCTGTTTTAACCAGATGGGAAACAAGTAGGTTCCTTCTTCACAACCGAGGGAAGTTACCACTGAAGTGATACAGTGTTTTGTAGTAAAATCTGAAATCAACAGTAGAAGGTTTTGGTGGTATTTCACAATGAGGGGTGAGTAGGCAATAAAATAGTAGATCAAGTTCAGTGCCCAAAAAGAGAGGGAAGAGAGCAGGAGCATCAATTCTCTGAAAACCTTAAATCAGTTATTAATAGCAGTTATAGAAGAACAAATACAATTATAGAGTTTTTGGAAAGGAATAGAGGCAAACACCACCAACTTACTTCTTGTTGGAGTTTAAAATGTGTAACCCCAGCAATTTAGCTGGCTGCAGGTTTGGAAAGAGAAATTTCCTGGATTGGCAGCATGGCAGAGGTTGGAGGGCAGCTCTGGATGCTGTTGAGTCCAATGCCCTGTTCTAACAGTATCCACTGTAGCATGTTGCCTAGGAGCGTATCCAGCAAGGTTTTGAATGTCTCCAAGGGGGAAAACTGTACCATCTCTGAGAAACTTGGTTCAATGTTAAACTATCTTAACGTGAAAACTTTCTTTTGTCTTGGTGGGTGATGAGGCTGTGTTTTGTAGCCCTGTCCTTGCTGCCTGCCCTAATTAAGATGTCTCATATTTCTGTTTGTGCTGATTGCCTCTTGTCCTGTCTCCCTTAAGAAGTGTCTGGCTGTATTTTTTACTTACTCTTTCTGGCATTTGATCCTCCTGAGCCTTCTCTTCGTGAGACTGAACAGCCCCAGCTCTCTCAGCCTTTCCCCATGCATCAGACGCTGCAGACCCTCAGTTGTCATTGTGGCCCTTTGCTTGACGTGTGGAGCTCTGGAACTCCACCAACCATTCCAGATGTGCTCTCACCTGTGCTGGGCAAACCTGCTCTCCAGCCAGTTGACACTCCTCAGCTGCAGGCTTTGCATTTTCCTTCACTGAATTTCATGAGATTCCCACTGACTTGTTTCTCAGGTCTTCACACATCCTGTTGTTCTGTAATATGAAGGTGGAAATAGCTGATTCTTTGGTTTCATAATGTAAATATTCCTATAGGAGACTCTGTGCTTGTTCTATAGTTATTAACAGAGAAGTGGCTACAAGAGCCAGTGTTTCTGATATCTAGTCACCAATTCTTGAGTGGTGATAGATACTCAAAAATGGTATTTTTTTTTCCTAGAAGAAAAATCATGAAATATTATAAAGGATCTTTGATTTGACACAAGACATCTGGTCTTATGTGAAAAGTCAGCAAGTTTCAAAATCTAAACTTAGTTTTGACAAGTTGCATAGAAGAATATAATCCTGATGTGCTTATCATGTAATTTTTTTGTGTTATTTTGCTAAACTAAGTTACTAGCAATTCAGGGAATAGTTTAGGAAGAGCAGGAAAGGGATGCTGTAAGTTTTTAACAGTGGCTATAAGAGGAACTATTGTTAAGTGTTACACAAAAATCCAAGCAGAGATTTCTTATTGTTTTTGATAAAAAAGTAAACAGAAGGGAATGTTTTTGTAACATCTAAAATGTTTTTGAAAGAAGACCTATATTTCTACCAAATGCTTTCTAAGCTTATGCTGTACTGAAGCTAGGGCAATTGTTTGAGCAGGACTGACAACAGAATTTAAGCATTTTGTTGAGATGGTTCAATTTCAAAGAAGAAATTGTTATTTAATCAAGTTGGATTTAGCAGTTTGATCTTGTTTTGCTTTCCAGTGGGAGAACAGAGGTCCAATCTGTGCAGTATGGGAAAGAAAGAGCAAATAAAGACAGGGTATTTGCAAGGTAAGTAGTTTACATTCCTTAATATTTCCCCATTTATATACTTTAAGAACTCAGGATAGCCTTCAGTCTACATAGCTTGTTGTTACATGTATTGACTCTCTTTGTGCTGTTTTTATTACAAAGAATGACCTCCTGCTGTTAAAATACTCCCTTAAAAATACTGAGTTAGTGGGTATTTTTGTCTGTGATAATATCTTGCAACTGTACATGTGTATTTCCTTTAGAAATAAGTGCAGTGAGTCTTACTTGTTAAAACAGCTTTATCACTGTGTCTCTGTGAGGCATTTTACTATGAAAAGTGAGCTGTTTCTGAAGGTATTTGGTCACAGAGTAGTTGGCTAATCAGGAATATATTACTTAATTTTATTCCAGGCTTCTGAGGAGTTTAGTGATTACAATAAAAGATTCAAGACATAAATGTAGTTATTTCTTCAGAAATTATGTTGCTGTTTTCCAAAGTAAAACAGTTACTGTATCCACTGGCAGTTTGTTCTGATCATGAATAGAGAATCCTTGCAGGGAGAAGGCAGCTCTGTCCTCTTTTTCTGCTTCTACTTTTACAGAGATCAGAGATGTCTTTTTGACCCTTAAGGAACTCTGGAGTTCAAATTTGTGCTTGCAGACTTCTAGTAGTAAGTCCTGCAAACTTTGCAAGTGATGCAGACACTGTTTCTAAGAGCATTGCTGAATTCAGCCTTGATTTTCTTCCCTGTCTCCACCCCTTCTTTCCCCTGTGCATTAGAATCTAATCTGGGTTTTATCTCAGCCTACCGTAGATAGATAGCTCCATGCTAGGTTTGGGGGGCAGAAATGCTGTAACATGCTGCTTCAACAAGTAGATTTTATAAAACCATATTTTTCTGCATAAAATTATTTTTTACTTGATTTAATTTACTTTGGGAATGTGAGTGAATTTAGATTTGTACTTGGAGCAATTTTTTTTAGTACTCAGGAGACTCAGCTCTGTGACAGGTTAGCTTTATGTCACTAAATGACAGTTGTGAATCAGTTAAAAACTGTTTTTCTTGTTCCACTCTGAACTTGGCAATTCCCCATGAGTCAGGAGGGTGGAGCAGAGCTGATAGTTTGAGGAGTATTTTTATCATTTCAGAAACTCATATGCAGTAGATGGCACTCTTCCCTTTGTAGCAAAACCCAGCAAGTGCTGCTGGGGTCACTTGTAGTTTATAATATATGGATGGATAAAATCAATGAAGTTGATAAAATCAAAAGCCACGGCTGGAACTGCTCTTATTTTCATAAATCTTGGCTTTTTTTTTAGTTACTAAAATGCTTGGCTCTTCCATCCTCAGGATTTTTTTTCCACTGTTGCTTTTTATTAAGAAATCTAGCATTTATCCACATACTTTGAGTTTCTAAGAAGTGTTGATGACTGATGACTGAGGCATGTATGTTTATATCAGGTAAATGAAATAGTGGTGTATTATAACATACATCTCAAAAGGCTTTTAACAAATCAGCTGCTTCTTTTTCTGTCTTCCTCATGACAATATGCAATTCATTTATTTTCAATTTTAAAGACCTTTAATATTTTCAAGAGTGAAAAAAGCTTGAAAGAGAAGACATTTCTAGAGCACAGTGTTGTTCAAGAAGCTTAAGAATATTAGTTGTTTGTCTTCTAAACATTTGCATTTCAGGTGGACATGCTGAGTAGATGTCAACCCTTTTGTATTCATACAAAGGATAAATTTTGTTTTCTAAGATTTTCCAGGTATAGTGTGGGTTTTATTCCTGGAACCTGCCTTTCTCTTTCATGGTGTGTCTTTATCAGACAAAGTCATGGTGCAGTTGAACAGATTTTTAAGTTCTTAGGGAGTGGGGGTCTTTTGATTGCTTTTCAAGGTCTTTCTTGAGAATTAGGTGGGCCTGTAAGTTGAAATGATTGCTGTTGCTTTTATTATTATTACATAAGAAGATTTATTAAAGATCAGTTAAAGAAATGTTTTTAGTATTTTTTACACTTGGATTTCTTAACAATATCTAATTAGAAACTGCCTTATTGAACTAATGCTGTCAAAGCAAATCTTTGAATCATTTCATGGTAAGAAAATGAACATAGAGAGTTATACTGAGATGTTACTTGAGTGATCTGTTTGTTCTAGGCTGGGAAATGTTGATTGCCACAAGTAATGACTAGCTGCTCTGGCCTTTACATGCTGAGAGAATCATGGCATGAGACAGGGAAATAAATATTTTAAACAGCCATTTCAATAAAACAAGCAATTTTAACCTACAGGAAGCAGGCTTAGCTGTTTGTTCTCAGGATTTTACTTTAAAATTAGCTGAAGGATTATTTTTTTTTTTTTTACAAATCGTAGAAACATTTACATTTAACCTTTGGAATTATTACTGTGAAGGATCTATTCCGTAATAAATCACATATATTATGTAGGAGCTGTTTTCTTAATCTTCATGAAGCACTAAGTTCAGCATTCTGAAGACTACTGCTGCAGTTGTCTAGATTTTTTTGTGGGTAGCTTGTTTGTTTGTTTTTAGGTTTTTGTTGTTCTTCTTTGTGGGTTTTTGTTGGGTTTTGGTGTTTTTTTATCATTTTCTTTACAGCTGTTCTCTTGGCCGAATTTATTACAGGATATTCACAATCCACAAAACCCCATAAGAATTCCCAGAAACTTAATAAAAGTAGATAATAAGAGTAAAAATGTTCAGTCAAGTAATGAATTGAGAGAATTCTTAAAGGGCACTGCTTTCTCTTAGCATGCTTGCAAAATAATCTAGGGCTGCTCAGTTCTGGTGTACACGGGGGGACTGAGAGCAGGGAGTTTGAGTGAGAGAGTGTCAGTCATTTGTATCTGCAAACTCCCTATCATAAACTGGAGTCTGTTTCCAAAAATTCAGTCTTGTTTCAATTATGCACTTATTCAGATCTATTAAATAATTTCTCAGGTGCTTTAAATTGCATATGTCATTTGTGTGGTGTACCTTGCAGATTTCTATATAGTTTTAGTCTCTTGGTCTGCAGCAGTATTTGTCAGTTTTGGTGAGAAATGTGTTCCCTGTACTCCTTGTCAAAATACAAAGCAAGGCTGTGTCTTCAGGTTATGTTTCTTTCTGGAACAGAAATGGTTTTTTAAATTCCCACCTGTATTCCCAAACACACCTTTGTTCTTTCCCAGCTTCTGCAAGATTTTAGCCCTTCAGCTGTGGATGCCAAACAAATTCTGTCTTTGAAAGCTTTTCTATACTGTAGTTGAGCTAATATAATGTCATGGGGTTTTTTTAGTTGCATTATGTAATTTCATCCCTGCTACTCAGTTTTGGGTGTTTGGGTTTATTTTTTGTATTTGCTGTAACATTGAGGCTCATGAGACTTGGGGGCAGGTAAAGTTTTCAGTTATTGTTACTACTCAAATAGATGGGACTGCTTCCAACTTTTAGGAATGTCTCTGCAGGTACACCAAAATGAAATCTGAAAATGGCTTATTCTGTTAACTATCAGTGCCCTATGCTGGGTGCAATAGAAGCATCCAGCCTGAGCAGACAGAGGTGAAATTTAAAATTCCAACATTTCAAAGTTTTATGCATCTTAGTTCTCCTCCCATCTCCTCAGCTGCACTCTGGCATGAGAAAGTTATTTTAATATTGTTAGAAGTCAGAGATAAAGGACAAATTTGTAGGTATATTTAACAACAAACCTTAAATGTTAATTTAAAAAAACCCTTATTGTTGGATTTAGAAGTGTTGACAGGAGAACTAAAATTAGCACAGCACTAAGAAGTTCAGTTCTGCACTGTGGTAACTTTTTCTTTGAAATTTCTGCAAAGACAGGAAATTGGGGCAACAAACACCAGTGGGTGGGGACTCTGAGGTTAGAGCTGTTAATAAAATAATTGAGACGAAGCTTTGGTGATAAACACTGCAGATGTTTATCATGGTGGTAAGGTGATCTTCTGAAAGATCAGACCCTATCCACAATTAAAGGTGAGTGTTTTCTTGACATTGGATGTTTTCATAGGGAAGAAGGTGATGCTTTGCTTGTTTTGGAGTTGTGTTCCTTTGTTGTACCGATTGAGGAAGTTTACATAAACGGAGTTACAGATTTTGGCTTAAGATACAAAGCAGTGGGGGTTTTTTAAACTGTCAATAATGTAACTTTTGGAAAAACTTGGATTCTTTTCCCCACTCTGTATGCTCCTATGTCTCTCTTAGTAATTTATCTAGTTTCACACAGGCAAGTATTGTGCATTTACACTGTTGCTGCATGTTAAATAAAGAAAAGCCCCACCTCCAATTTTTCTACATTCCATTTGTTGCTTTTTCACTGAAGGTAAATGAGGTTCAGTAATTGTCTTTACATGTCTGTCAGCAAATACTGTATCTTCAGTTCTGTATTTACCTAATTCAGCATTGGTTATATTATGCTTTTCTGCATTTTTCCCCTCAGACTGTTCTTTGGTTGGTAGTAGAATCCACCTCTTGGCAGAGATGGCACCTGGTGCTCATCTGCTGGCTGCAGACAGATGATTTAGTGTCAGTAGGGTCCAGCTAATCAGAGCCCTGATCAATAAAAGAATAACGAAAGGCTAGAATCAGACATGCATTTCAGTTCTGTTTCAGTTTCATGTTACTTTACCTGTTCAGAACTGCTCGCATGTACATGTTTGTGAAGAAAGATACCAAAGTGGTTGAGTTGCTTCTGTAATTTGAAGCAAATTACAGAAATTGGAATTTTGGTTTAATTTATTTGATACCAAGCTAATTATTTTTCAAATCAAATTAATATTCCTTAAGTATAGTGAAGCATGCTAAGAGACTAGATGTGCTTCTCCTGAGGAATTAATTTATATTTTCCCTCTTTTCAAATATCAATATACTATTAGGTTTTTTCCCCCAGGTGAAATAACACCTGAAGGAGTATTATTTAGAATAGCTCATCTCACTTGACTGTCTGAAATTTGTCAGCTGTTACTCAGTAAAACTTCAGAGCAGTAGAGCAGAATGTAATACATGTTTAGAGCTTCTTGGTGGGGTAAAAATAAAAGTAAACCCTCCACAAGAACACCACCACTCCATTAGTACCAAACAGTTTTGACACCTTACTTATTTCTGTATATGAAGCTTATTCGATATAATGCTTGATTGGTTGTTGTTGTAGATTTTTTTGATAATGTTGAGGACAATATTATCTGCTCAAGGTGGTGACTTGCATTGAATTTTAAGTTCTCTGAGAAGCAAAAATACATTTGTTAGCAAGTTTCCCATTTTCAGAGGATGTAGTTTGTGTGCAGGTAGTTCCTTAATTTCTCAAAGTTCCTTCTTTTTGGAGTTGCTCTTTCAGTAAACCAGTAATAATGACAAAGATAAAGAACAGTTACCATGTGTCACAAGGACAGTGAAGGCAGAAATTATTTTTTTATATGGGTGTATGGAGCTGTACTGCTCATACAATAATATGTTGCCACCTCATTGTACAAAGCTGGAGAATTTAGTGATAGAATATGGAGGCAAATGGAAATGAAATTATCATGTCACAAAAGATTGAAGTATCACTGCAGCTAGAGGGTTGATTAATGATAGAGGAGAAATCTGAACTATATAGCAACATTAAAGCAGTAGAAGTCAAGTAAAAACCTAATAACACAAAATATATAGGAGATGTATGGGTTGTTTGAAAGTATTTTTGTTGTCAGCTGAAGACTTTTCAGTTGAAAACAACGAACTACGATGTCTGGATATGTTTAGTTGCAGGATGACTGAACCATCCAATGCAATGCTAAGAAAAAAGCAACCACAGATGATTCATTTGCTGCTTTCCAATACAAAAGGGAAATGTTGTATTTCATGAGAGATTACAAGTATGGTTTCATTTGTGCTTAAGAAAGAGGTGAAAGAAACAGCAGGAAATTGTAGGCATCCTGGAATGATTGGAGAATGGGAAGAAAAAGTTTTGTTAATGTCAAGAAAGGACAAGAAGTGGAAAACAGAATTCCTTTTGTATAAAAGCACAGCTGAGAATGACGTTTAACATGAAGGCATAAAACCAGATGAAGTTCTGTTATCCACAAAGAAGTTTAAATAGTTAAATAATATTATTTCATCTGCCTGACAAGGGACAAGGCACGTTCTGGGAGAAAGCATGTCGTCTTGATGGAAATCCCTGATGTCTAAACAAAATTTTGTAACTCTGTTGCCATGTTTTTGATTACCTCACTTTCAGTTCTTCAAAGTCTTTGTGAGTTTTTGGCCTGGTGTTTTCACTGCTTTATTTTTCCTGAGGTGGCTAAACAGTTGTGTTCCTTGGAGGAGATTTTTTCACTTGTTTATTTGTTTGGTTTTGTTCTATATTTATTAAGTTCAGATCTCTCTGTGATTATGCTGTTTGAATCAGATTGTCTTTGAGGCATTAAAAGTCTAGTGAGTTCAGATTCTGTCTTGCCTCCCTCACAGCCAGCAGTCGTTTATTAGTATTTCAATGACATTCTTTTCAAAGTACATTAAATGAAGTACAGTAGATGGAGAAAATACAGAACTGCCCATGTAAATACAGCTTTGCATTATCAAGTTTCCTTTCTTACATATCATTTGGTTTCCTGTGATAGAACATCAGTTTCATTGTGGTGAGTTTTATATAATTTTATTCTTACATCATACTATTTTTGGTTAGACATTTTACTTTCTTCTTCTAGATCCCCCAGCAAACCCTTGGCACGGAAAGCGATGAGTGGGATGGATTGGGAAGTAGTGAGTAGGAACTCACTGTCTGATGATAGGTTGGAAACCCAGAGCCTCCCGTCACGGTCTCCACCTGGAACCCCAAATCAGTGAGTAGCACCAGATTTTCTCTCCCTGAAAGTGACTCTCTACCTCTCGTGTGAGCAACCTACTTGTGTAATAAAGGGATTAATGTGTTATGTAGACAAATAGTTTCCAAAAAAATGTGTGCCAAATGATTCTGTGTAACACTTAGCTTCAGATTAAAAAAAGTTTTTAGGTGCTTCTCACTTGACCCATAAAAAGTGTAGGATGTACCATACTACCCTAAATTTGAGAGCTTGAGTTTTCTCAAACACATTTAAAACTAAGTTATTAATTTGGTTAAAAAAATACTCTGATGATAAAATCTATGTGATATTTTAAAAATCGTTTATTCCATTTAATACCACTTTTTTAAACATTGGGGAAAATTGCTTTATTGGAAATCCTTGCAGGTTTATTCCTCTCAGTTTTTCTACCTTTCCTTTCAATGTTCACTCTTCATATGATAGAGCCTTCTGTTTTAAGTTAGTGAAAAAACATTCCTGATTTCTTTTGGAGGGTGACCAATTTTCTCAGTGTGCTGAAAATTTTTTAAGACTCAGTATTATTTAATTTTGTATTACATAAATTACAAGATTTTAAGATTCTAACACATATTATTCACAATATCAGTGTTGTAAATAGTTGTAGCATTTAAAAATTACTGAAAATTTGTGTAATAAGGATGCTTAAAGCATAACAGACTTAATCATGCATGTTTAAAAGAATTTTAATGTTGTCGTGCTAGTTTTCAAATGGGAAAGTACTGGATTCCAGAAATTATAAGCAAACAAGAAGAAGAATCAGTGCAAAGCTTATGATTCTCCTAGGGGAAGATGCAGGGGATAAGTTGTTCATCTTAATAAATTCAGGTTAAGTTCTGCCATGAACAGAGTCAGGATTTGTCTTCTTAGGAATCCATTTTTCTTTTTGTTAACTGGGCTGTCATCTTGTCCATTGGAGCATAATGGTTTCAGGCTTCTTTACTTAAAAGTAAATAATTTTTTTAAATAGCCCTTAGTGTTTATTAAAATAATTTTTGAACAGTTAAAAAAATGAAATACATGTTGATCTGACAACATAATTGTTTCAGTGATTTTTCAAATTTTAATAAAAATATGTGTATGAACATGTGCTTGCATTGAGAAGAAATAATTTGTTTAGCATCCTATTTTAGTGGGTGGTATCAGAAATGTAGATTAACAATAATATTCTTGTCACACTGCACTGCTCTGCTTTCCCTCTTAGTCGCAACTCTGCCTTCACTCAAGAAGGAGCCCGGTTACGACCCTCATCAGTTGGACATTTAGTGGATCATGTGGTTCACACCTCCCCCAGTGAAGTGTTTGTAAATCACAGATCTCCATCCTCCACCCAGGCCAACAGCATCATACTGGAATCATCCCCGTAAGTTCTGCTCTTACCATGCCACTGTCGCATGCAGGGCTGCTGAAGGGAAGTCAGAGATCTTGGCCTTGAAGAATTTATTGTTAAATGTGGGGTCAAGAGCCAGGCAATCTAATAAAAAGGTGGTTGTTATTTAGGGAGTATTGATGTAGGTCTTGCTGTGAGGAAGAGCTAGATGATAGAAAATTGAACACTTGTATCTGACATATTCCAGGTTCAGGATTACAATACCATCCCCACCAACCCAAGCTGTGGGTTTGCTGTAACGTGACCATCAATGTCTGAATGTGGAACCAAAAGTTGGGTTTTTGATAGAATTGAAGGAAAGTTTTAATTCTCACAAGTTTGGAAATGTTGCTTTTTGTCACGGCACAGAAGTGAGCTTTACAAACTACGTAGCCAAAATACCTTTTGGGCACCCAGGTATTTGGACATTGCTAGTGTATTAAATATTTAGTATATTGTTACAGAGTTAATTTTTTTAAGCTGACACTGTCAGGCTTTTTTTTTTTTTAATAATGCTGAATGTTCTTTATACTGTAAGCTTACTTACCATAGGATACAATGGGCAAAATAAACTATTATTGTGTATGGGATTCAGAAGGAAGACAAATAAAAAAACCCTGCTGAGTTATTCTAAGATATTGAAATACTCGATAAGTTGTGTTCAGACTACAGATTAATTGGGAAAAATATTTCAATATATACCATTTTATCACTGCCACTGGCCCCTCTTAGTGTAGCTGTAAACATAATGCCAGATATGCCCTCATAGTATTGTATAGTAATCTCTGTTAGCAGGGAAATTGCACAGTTTCAAAACCAATTGAGAGGTGTAAAGCAGCACATACTTAATTACATGTTAATAAACAAATGGTATGTCTCAGGAAAAATTACTCTGCAAAACTATTTAAACACAGTTTTAAAACCTTGCTTAGACTAACTGTACTTAGAGTTTTAACAACAGTGTGTAATTTTGAGGAGGGAAGTAGAATACATAGTTTTTAAAGTTTTATAAAACAACACATGATGCTTTTTAGAGCAGGTTACAATAGTTACAATTTGACCCTTAGCTAGTTACCTAACTTTCAGGTTTATGTAATATTAATTTGACCTAGTTATGTAAATTATCCCTTATTTGGTGGACTTTTTAACATATTCACATGCCAAAGGATTCTCAGGACTGGGACAGTTGTGAATCTTTTCTCATATTACAGTTTTGTTGTCCAAAGGACACACTGGGTCAGGTTCCTTCTGTTCTAAGATTTCCAACTGAACTCGGTTATGAGAAACCCTTACTGAATGACACAATGATACAGTGAAGAAAGCACAATTTTTAAATACTCTGTCTGATTCGTATGCTTTTACTTGAAGTTATACAAGTTCTTCCTGAGTTTTCTTTGGATTTGTTTATTTAGTACTTGATTTCTTTAGTATGTCACTGTAGAAATGAGTCTTAGAAAGAGAGGAAGTGGTTTTATATAACTCTGGCTGTTCTTTTTCGTGTTTTTGCACTTTTTATGCCCAAGCAGAAGAAGTATTACTCTTCCATCACTAAGCATTAGCAATTCCATTTTTGGGTTTTTTTCCTCTTGTTGGAATCTTAAAACTAAAATTTAATATCCCAGTATAGATTTCTAGTATAAGATACTTTTAAGAATGAGGACATTGACTTTCAAAGATATATGAACCCATTAAGGTTTCTGAAGGTTTAAGGTGATGTTATTGATTCAAGATTTGCCATTTATGAAGGAATATGGTAGACACGAAGTTTGTATTAGCTATTTTAATTTTAAACTATACTGTTCTACAGTCCAAAAAGCTATTTTGTAATCAATTTGACCTTTCTGGCTGAAAATGTTTGAGTAGTCCATGTGCTAATTTGTCAGAAACTCTTTATTTATTGATCAAATTTATATGTGTGAAAAAGAGGGGCTAGCCTGACTGGCAAATAGGTTTAGTGATATTTTTGAGTTTGGAGTCAATATAGGAAAAGAAATTAACAGTTTCCATGCAGTTATAGTTTAGCTAATATAACCTTTAATTGCACATCTTTTCTCCATCTGCACATCCTATTCAACAGTAAATGGAGAGATAGTGCTTGTAGTTCCCTTAGATAATTATAACCTCAAATTCCGAAAGCACGTGCTAAGTGTTTAGTTTAATAAATTTATGGGGGTGTGTATGGAACTTTTGCTAAATATATTAAAAAGATCAGACCGGATATCTGTAACAAAAATACCTAGAGCTTGCCAGTGCCAGGGTTTGTATGTTATTTTATTATTATGTAAATTGCTGAATTCAGTAACAGAGAGCTGCTTTGCCTGCAAAATAGGCTGCTTTCACTGCCATTGTCTGAGCATTCATAAGGAAATTCAAAGCTGACTGGGCAAATATAAAGCAGTGAAGTTTATGCCCGAGGCTTGATTGTTAGTTCTCACAATTCATTATGCTAATATATTACAGAACTTGCATTGCTGCTTGTAAAATGCTCATTTAAGTAACTTTTCAAATCTTTTCTTTAAGATTCTGTGTTCTGTAGGAATTTACTTGTGTTTGTTGACATGTATGTATAGACATCTAGTCAAACATCAGATCCATCTTCTGCTTTTATCAGAATAACTTCTTTTGTGTTTCTATTCATGTTTTCTGTTCCTTTTTTTCTTTGGTTTAAAACTCTCAGAAGTAATTGTTTTCAGGTGAATACATAACTTAAAAGACTGAGTAATCTGTGCTGGCCAGATTTGAATTAATGAATGCATAGGCAGCTAAAAATCTCTGGGTGACCTTTGTAAGTCGATGTCTAAATAGTTTATAGCTGCCTTGCAGATTTGTTTTGCAAATGTTGACAATAATCATATTTTTCTCTCCACAAAAATGAATTTAGAAAAGCTGCTTATCTTGAAAAATGAAATGTGCTCTTTTTTCTGTTACTTGCACTGAAAAGTGTTAAGAAATACTATTTTTCTTCCCAACTGTGTTTTGAACATAAGGTTCTTCAGACATCAGACTGAATAATTAGTACTTTTTTTTCTTGTAACGCTTCATGAAAAAAATATTTTCTAAAAGTTGAAATAAAGCAGAAAAATATAGAAAAATATTGTTGGGATCTTTTTGAATGTGCTGTTTTCTTCATTCACTGACAAAAATGTTACCAGTTTTGTTTTCTAAGAATATTGACTAATTTTTTTAAACTGAAGTAGAAAATGTTTGGCATTTCAAAGTGAAGTGTTCTATTTCTGAGTTTTCATGCTTTTTGAAAGAGATTCATCTTTTTTTTTTTTTTAATCTGCTTACTCCATTTTGCTCAAATTTTTATTTTTGAACATGTATCTGGGATCTGCCTTTCTTGAATTGCATAGAGACAAATTTTATGGTATGGAGATTGATGTGTGCCTTAGGTTTTCAGATTTGCAGCAACCTGAAACCTTGTGCAGTCTCATACTGAGAGTCTAGCCCTGCTAACATTTCACTGAGTAGAGACTACTAATACAGCAGAACTGCTCATGTGTGTTTTGGAGGGAGTTATGTGATGAGTTACCACTACAGCTTGCTGATAATGAAAGGAGCAGTGTCGTTCTTTTGCTTCTGGGAGTCCTTCCCCTTCTGCATGATAGCCAGCCCTGAGATAAACCAAAGGACCCAGGTTTGGCTGAAAATTGGTTGTGGTTGCTTGGTGTAAGCTGCCTTAGCCAAGGGAGGAGGACCAATTCTTCAAGGAAGCAGCCGGGGATGTGGGTGAAAGAACACACACCCCTGTTTTTGGTGGTAGCATTCTCTTTAGATTTAGCTATAGCCTGTAAGTTCATTCTTGATGCTTTATGGATCTGGTATCAGCGGGCTGTTGTCTGAATTGTTAATGACTTAATAGCACCTTTTAATGGGGTGCTTGTGGAGGACGACATATCCTGCTGGTATTTAGAAACTGGCATTCAAACTAAGTTAATGGGAACTGAGAGCTGGCTGACCTTTTGAGCCTTTCCAAATGTTCTTTTTAATTCTTAAATTTAAATCCATATAATGAAAGATGAATCATATATTTATGTAATACAAATTATACAGTTAAGCTTTTATTCCAAGAGGATTTCCAAAAGGAAATTCTCCATATTACACAAAAACATGGAGAACGTTTTTATTAATCTACAATAGAGTGCTTGCAGATTAGGAGTAGTGGGTTAAGCATGCTAAAACCATTTTTTAGGAAGGTCATAGGTAAAAGATGAACTTGCTGGTTCTGTGTAGTTACTTGTCAAGAAAAATGCTGCAACAGGCGCAAACATAGGCTGCCTATATATGCTAGTGCACTACATTTTTAAGGTTCTAAAAATACAAAGAGATAATCATCTCTCAGACTCTTGGGTTTCTTCTAACATTTTCAGTTTATTTGCAGCCCTGAAAGAATTGTCTATATCTCATGATTGTTCCACTTCATATTTCTATTTTGGTATTTAGATCTCAAGAGACTCCTATAGATGGGCAGCCTCCAGCATTACCACCCAAACAATTTAAAAAGAACAGCTGGAACCAAATTCATCATTCACACTCACAGCAAGAACTGGATAACCATATAAATGAAACATTTGATGTTCCTGCATCACCTGAAAAATCCACCGTAAGTTTTTTTATTCATTTAATCATTCTGCTTTTTATGAGAATGATGGTCCTATTTTAATGAGCTTGGTTCTGAAGCATTTCAGAGCTGCTATGTTTGTGCATTACCCTGCAGCATTGCTGTCCCTTCACTGGCTCCTGCTGGTTTTACTCTGGCTGCTGGAGTAGTCCTTTGTCAATTGACAACAAATCACTACATTGGGATGGTTATGGAAAACTTTTGAGCATTAGCTTTTCAGCACATGCAGAAATTTCTGCCTAACCTCTTCTTTGAGAAGTCATTTGCCATCAATTTTAAATACATTGCAGTTGTTTAATATAGTTTTAGCTAAAAAGCTAAACCTGAAAATGCCTACCAGCTTCTGAAGTAGTTTTATCAGGAGAAGCTTCTTGAGTATGTGGTTGCATTTCTCAACAGAATTTCTAAGAAAGAGACTGTCAAGAAGCCTGTGACAGCAAATACAAAACTTTTTCCATAATCAAGTATGTGTGAGATGAGTAAGATAGTTGATTATCTGACTGTGGAGAGATCTCCCTGATCACTTTTGTGATTTTTGTCCTTCTAGAAATTTTCCAGTGGTTCTAGATTTTATACTGATGTGAACAGTAAATAGGACAAAAAACGTGTTGCGGGATAGGAAAACATCCAGATGTAGCAAATACTGTGTAAATGGTTTTGTCAACCTCAGGCTTTCAAAATTATGAGTCACCTCCCCAAACTGATATTTAGAAATGCCTTAGCTTGTTTTTTTTTTTTTTTTTGCATCCTGAAGCGTAAACCTATGGTGTTCTGTTCTCTTAGGCCTTACAACAAAGTTAATATTCCCATAAATCCCCTGTTTCATTTCATAGCTGGGGTTTTAGTAAAAGACTCAAAAGTGAAAGTTTGGAATTTTTGAGTGTTTTGGCAATGTTGTAAATTTTTTTTGTTATAATTAAATAATGAAACAGAATTTGTAACAGATTTGTCTTCAGGCAGTGCTTACCTGAGGCACATTAAAATACTGTTCTGTTTTGAAAGATAACACTACTTTAGTCATCAAGTTCTTCTGCCCTGTATTCAGTTATCTTTACCAAATTGACAAAAATAACTTTCACTTGTTTTTTTAACTCCTTTTAGTTCTGCAAAACCAACACAGCTGCATGAATGAGATTGTTTTTTCTCTGTGCATTGTCAGTGTGGTTGTTTGCTGTGCTCCAGTGGGACACATTTATGCAGTCTCGCTGAAGGCAGCGCACTGTTGTAATTGAACATCTAATTTGGTCTGCTGATGTCTTTTTATTTTGGGGATTGCAGAAAAAGGAACATAGCGTGACTGAAATTTTTGGAATGTTGTTTTGTTTCAAAATTGCTTTTCTGACCAGAATTCAGGTTCCTGCACTGCTAAAGTCTTCTGCTGTTCCATCTCAAATATTTTAGAGAAAACCCCTCACCATTTTGACTTCATAAAGCTATTGAATTTCTTTTGCTTGTATAGAGGGTCTATGATGAAAGGTAGTAGGACACATAAGGGAATGACAACTTTTTACTCCATCTGCAATCCATAAGTGTCCAGTTTGGGAATGTCAGTAGTACTTGAAAGTACTTGAAAACAAGTGTGGTCAAAATCCCTTTAAACACATTAATGATGGCATACAGTGCTCTCTGCACATTTGCTTTATAAACTTCTTCTCAAAATAGCATCTTAAAGCAGAAAATTATCATTTCCTTTCTGTCTGGGGAATGTAGTGGCACAAAAGGTACCAAATGCTGCAGGTGAGCACTTGGTTGATGTTCATTCTGTCTGATCTCCCACACCAGTGAACATAGGCTGAAATGATTGGCATATGATCAGGCTTCCTAAGAACCTTTCTTTACATTAACATTTCTTGTGCTTTTGAAAAAGAAAAAACTTTCCTAAATTTTTCACTTTTTTATTACTATGAATGCATTTGGTAATTTTTTTGTTTTAACCAAGAACAGCAGACACCTGCAACTGAGTTAACTTCTAATGAGCCAAATTGTGCAGACTTCTTTAGCCTAGTGAAACTCTAGGTTCTCAACTTTCTAACATATAAAAATATTTGCTTTTCTGAGTTTGTTGTTTATTTTTCTGAGTATGAGTCTTCTGCTTTGCTGTAACTGGTAACATTGAAAACTTCCTTGAAACACATTTCTTTATTACTTTGCATTTTTATTGTAGGAACTATAGAAATACTAGCTAATGTTCAGTCTGTGAAATAAATATAGATAGGAAGCAGCTAAAAATCACTTCAATGGCACTAAGTTGATTTTTTTCAGAATAAAAAGCTATAAAACCAAGAAGAAAGTAGCTAAAATTTTCAGAGTTGAAACAGTGCAGAGCATATGTCACACCTCATTCTCCACTAGACTGGAAATGGAGTGAGGGATAGGGAACCAGGATTTCCTTGCTTACTACTGGCATATTGCAGTTAATAGAAACAAAAGGACATCTTCAATTATCTTCCTTTTCATTGTATTACATTCTTATTGCAGCTCTTCATTGTGGTAGTAATTAAAATGAATTTAAATTTCCATTTGATAACCTGTTTTTATTAGAGTTTTGAAGCCAGTTAGTCTTTTCTATTATACTTTTTTACTTTGAGCTTGCTTTGACAGAACAGGCCTTTAACTTAGTTATGTCCAAGACTCTTAAATATGTAATTTTTCCCTTTTATGCAAACCTAAGATGTTTGTGTTCTTGATTGATATTTTCTCAAGTGTCCAGGAGTAGTTATTTGATAAGGAAACTGCAGAATTATTAAATGCAATAGCCTCAAAATATAATTGTGAACAAAATATGTACTAATATAATATAACTTTTGTCTATTAGCCCAATGGTGGTGTCCCCCATGACAATCTTGTTATGATCAGAATGAAACCAGACGAAAATGGAAGGTTTGGCTTCAATGTAAAGGTAACAGTACATCTATTCCTTTAATGTTTATTAAGGTTATCTTCTGACATTTGGGATTTCTTACTAATTTAATTTGTTTTTTAAAGGGTGGATATGATCAGAAGATGCCAGTAATAGTGTCCAGGGTAGCTCCGGGAACACCTGTAAGTTATCAAAAAAGCAAACTTGGTAGCAATATCTGTGTATCTTGAAGGATGTACTGAAAATGAGAAATTATTTCTTAGCTGCCTATGAAAATTGATTTTTGCTATAACATTATCAGAACAAAGCAAATTACTTGCAGTAAGAATTTGATGGGGCTGTATAACATATTTTTTAAAGTTCTTCAATCCCCAAAAGTATTTTTTTCCTGCTGAAACAAAGTTTAATTTCTGAAAATTACAGGGCATTATAAATGCTCAGTATGCACTGGTATTTGAGCTGTGCCATCCTAAAAATACTTTTACTTTATTGCTTTTTTTAGATATAGACATTCAGTAATTTCACATAAATTACATATTGAAAGAGTGTTAAAAATAACCAAAATAGCAAATGTCTTACTTCAGTGACAGATGTAGCTGAGTAAAGCCAACATGTAGATTAAAACCAGACATTATGAATCATTCATCAGGTCTGATTGTGTGTTGTTACTGATGTTTAGTGACTATAAGAGTGTCTTCAAACCAGGCAAAATATTTGTTGATCTATTGCCAGAAATACTGACCTGGTATTCAGCTGACTGGAGTCAGCTCTGTCAATAGGTGTTAAGAGTGGAGCTAACCATTTATTTGCTGCCTTTTTTTTCTTTTTATCTGTTTGAAATTATTGAAATGTTTGCTGAAATATTTTTTCATGTATCTTGTTAATTATTACCCATGAAATATTTAATAACATGAATAGTTTTAGCTTTAAACATTCATTCAGAAGGGAGAAGATAGTTGGTGATGGCTTGTGCTCTTTCTTTTCTCCAATGATGTTTAGACTGCAGTTATAATAACAATTTTTATTATCCAATTCCTTTCCCTGGGATTACTGGGAGTTGTGCATTGTTTTTTTGCCATTTCCATTGCAGTATTTCAGACCTGAAGCATTTAAGCCTGTGAAATTGATTTGGACACAGTTTTGCCATGTTTCTCCTTTCAAAGTTAAAACATCCTGCTTTTTAATTGCCTATACAAAGGGTGATTCAAACAGAAGAGCTTTCTGCATCAGCTGAGGGGTAGAGTAACAGCTGCTGAAAGACAAGTTACAGTGCCAGCCACCTCCCAGCTGCAAGTGGGAATGGCACTGCCTGTGTATTGTGTAACTCTTGCATTTATCATTTGAATACAGTGCAGCAGCCATAGCAACAGGGCTGTTAGGATTCCGAAAGCTCCAGAATAGTGACTTTGTTATTTTAAGGTGAGAAATTGGTAATGGCTTGTGTTACAGCTGGTTTTGTTTTTTTTCCCTCAACCTTGCAGGCTGATTTGTGTGTCCCTCGTTTGAATGAAGGGGACCAGGTTGTCCTTATTAATGGCAGGGACATAGCAGAGCATACCCACGACCAAGTTGTAATGTTTATTAAAGCTAGCTGTGAGAGACACTCAGGGGAACTTGTGCTCCTAGTTCGACCCAATGGTGAGTGGCTTGTACATCATAATTAAAAATAAAAATCCACACCCTGCTCTCATTTTCTAACCTCCATTTTTTGTCCTGGGATGGAATGTTTAATCTGTAAGAAATAACTCCCTTCCCTGAAAAGGAGTTGCAACAACACAGTGTATTGATCCCTAATCAAAGGAAATGTGCATAACTAAGTGTTGGAAAATAATAAAGCCAGACATCAAATATTTCTGACAGAGAGCTAATTTAAATTTTGTTCTCACTCCTTGATAAAAATGTCCAGAAAGCTATATGCATATTGAATGTATTTCATAAGGTTATTATTATTCTCTTAAGGAAAATTTCAACAAACACAAATAACCTGTCACCAAATACTCAGTGTTTGGGTTACACTGGAGGTCAGTGCATACAAAATCCTTCCATACATTTCTCAAACAATCCAAAACCACTGGTAACATTTCTACTTGAGGAGTCTTAGTAGAAGTATTAAAATGCAGTCTAAATAAAAGCATATACAGTGTATTCACAAAATACACTGTTGGGTCATAGCCAGCAGATGGCCACTGGATTAATTCTGCTGCAACTCCTAACTACAGTGAAGTTGGAGAGGAAAAAGCAAAACGAAAAATATTGGTGCTTAATTGGAATAATTGAAATTACTTTTGCAGAGTACCTCATCCACCTCAAAAAATTTTCCCTTATTCACTGATGTGCACTCTCCACTTATATGTGCTGTCCTTCTGTGTGTAAGTTCTCTTGCAGCTTTTGTGTGCTTACTTTCTTTTCAGACAAAATTAAGAACTTTGTTTGCACATTTTCTATAACAAGCTATCTTTCCCCGTGCATATTGATTATCTTTGTATTCTGGATAAAAACATGTGATGTGTAGAAGTGAGGAGTTGCCAGTTTCCTTTTTTGTAGTGATGTAAAGTAATTTAAAAACAGGCTTTTGAACAGTATGTCTGTTATGTGTAGCAGAGGATGCATATTATTTCTGAGCTTATAGGCAAGGCACACATTGATAGCTTTGTAATGCCATGTATTAAATGTAATTTTCTCAGGTGGTCTGCACTTCTTGCCCTAATTACTGAAGCCTAAAATGAGTTCTAAGTGAATTGTAAGTAAAATGTAAATGCAGTTGTAATGATATCAGAGGCATGATGTGAGAATCTGAGATTAGAGAGTTATATCAGACAAGGCAGGGTATAATGTGAGTTTTGGTCAAATTTTAGCTGTCAGTGATGGGCTTTCACTTGAAATTACTATTACACCAAAGAAAAAAAATAGTTTTATCACGAATTATAATCATCAGCAAAGGCTCCCTGTCCTTTCTGATGGGGACAAAAATTAATGTGCTAATAAGTGTGGATTTTTCTACAGGAGAAATGTGGCGCTTTTGCTATTTTAAATAAATGACTGCTAACTTTAGTCAAACAGCATCTTCAGAGCTTTCATACCTTTTTTTGTTCTAGCTGTCTATGATGTTGTGGAAGAGAAGCTGGAGAGTGAGCCTGATTTTCAGTACATCCCTGAGAAATCTCCACTTGATGGTGTCCATCAAGATGATAATGCTCTGAGGGAGTCCATGATTCAGTTAGCAGAGGGGCTTATCACTGGAACTGTCCTGGCTCAGTTTGATGTAAGTACCATATCACCTGGGGCTGGGGGCAAGTTCCAAGTCTTTTGGGATAGCAATTATTTTAAACAAAGGAGATTACCGTTAAATTTCAGTACAGTCAGCATCCTTTAGCAAAACACTTGCATTACACGCTCAAAAGAAAAATAACCAAGGAAAAAAATCAATTCTATATTGTATGTGCAAATGAAGAATACCTAATCCTATGTTTCAGTTTTATAAATAGGTTTATTGATTACTTACACTTTTTGTGGCTATCAGGGACATGCTAATAAAATACTTTCAGAAAGATGAAGGCTGAAGAATGTCTACCAAAATATGTATTCTGTACTAAGGCCTTCATTCCATACCTAAGTTGCTGCAGAAACTGAATGACATGGAGCTGTTGACATTCTATGGTCATTCTCAATGAGGGAAAGTAAAATAACCAATGAAAAGTAGTGCCCTAGTGTTAAAAGGCTAATGTATCTGTGTATTTTATAAATAGTTGATTTTTATTGACATATTTCAGAACAGTAGTGCATTTAATGTGGGTCATTAAGCTGCTGATAGCTATGGTCTTTCTTCAGCATTGACTTCTGCCTTGGTGATATCCATCTTAAATGCATGAGATCAAGTGTCTTAAAGCAGGAAACAGTAGGATTGTAAAACACAAATTCTGTGAATTCCTCACCAAATGGAGACCTAGCATATATTTTACAACATATATTCATAAAATATATTATATATACTATTCTTTAAGAACTTTGGTAAAAATTCCTTTTATATTTAGAAAGAGCAGATTTTTTAAAAAGTTATTTAAAATTCTGCTTTAATATAAGTTTTATTCTCTCTAGCTGGTTAAATATGTAAAATTTTTTAAACTGCTTTTTTTGAACCTGGATCATTTCACTGATATTTTTTGTAGCACAAAGGTTGTGGCAATGCATGACCAAGGCATGAAAGGGCAGGAACTTCTCAAGGGCAATTTTGTGCAGGAAAAGTGCAAGGTAACCAGGATTTGCTCTACAGTTATTGGAATACAGAAGGATGTCTGGGGGAAAAAAACAAAAATTCTAACTGAAAGACGTGCATTGTAGGTACATGCCTATACACAACATAATCTGTTTGCCCCAAATGACCAAGTGGGATGTCAATATCAGTGAATTTGCTTACCACTAGGCAATATTACTTTTTCTCTGTATCAATGTTTTAGTGGAAGCTTGAAATTTAATTTTCACTTGGTCTTTAAACAAATTTTGGCTACATATTGGTCATTTTCAGTGATCCCAGAGCATAACTAAATTTATAGTGCTTTATTTTTAAGAGTGTTTTCATGTTTGTAGAAGCTACTGTTGCTTCATAGTTTATGTTCTAAAAAGCACCTCTTTTTAGAATAAATTCTATTTAGGCAAATAATATAATAATGAGACTATTGCATCTGTTATGTTCTGACCATCAGCTTTGTCTTTTAGCAATTGTACAGGAAAAAGCCTGGAATGACAATGTCTTGTGCCAGATTACCTCAAAACATTTCCAAAAACAGATACAGAGACATTTCGCCTTGTAAGTATTGCTATGTCTGTATGTGCTCTCAAAAGTATTTTACTGTGGTTACTAAATAAGTAACATCTTTCTAAAATTCTTTTCAGATGATGCTACACGGGTTATTTTAAAAAGTAATGAAGATTACATCAATGCAAATTATATAAATGTGAGTAGTACTTTTCAGAAGTGCTTCTGACATTAAGTAATTCTACAGTTTTTCAATGAAAAAAATTGATTTAAGAAATCTTTTTTTATATAGATCTAGTTCAGGCTCGAATGGCTATTAAACCTCTAGTCAGGTGATTTGAAATTTCCTGTAGATATTTGCTTCCTAATGTTTTTGGCACATCTTTTCATATATCTTAAAGTCTAGCCCTGCATTTAATGTGAAAAAATACAATCTGAAGCCAGCCCGCTCCAGAGCAATTAAGTATTCTTTCCTGATTACTTTTCCAACAGTTGTATTCAACAACAGTAAAGTTTAATTTGGCATCAATTTCTTTTGCATCTTGTTTTTTTCATTGTTAGTAAGGAAAAAAAATTACAGCTATTTACGGTAATGAAAAGAACCCCAGATATTAAATTCCGAGATCTGTGTTTTAAAAGCTGGTGTCAAAAGCCCACACAGCAAGAAATATTTGCACCTGAATTATTTTCCAATTGCTCTGTAATTTCTTTTTTCACCCATTAATCTTTATTATGGCAACTACATGACTACAAGTTCATATGTAAAGTGTATTTGAATCTTTGTAGTAATTTTGCATGTGAAACACTTAAAGAATTTTTATCTTTGCCAATTCATATTTGCTAGCCTTTAAGAAATAGAACTAATGTAATGGATGCTTTTTTAAAAATTAGTTGCTAAACTGTAAGTGTCTGATGCCTGACTTTCATTTGCTGTAGGAATTGCAATAATGAATTTGTCTTCTCTTAGATGGAAATCCCTTCTTCCACAATAATAAACCAGTACATTGCTTGCCAAGGTCCATTACCGAACACTTGTCCTGATTTTTGGCAGATGACTTGGGAGCAAGGCTCTTCTATGGTTGTGATGTTAACAACTCAAGTGGAACGGGGCAGAGTAAGTAAACGTTTCCTTAAATACCTCTTCCATAATCTTCTAAATAAGTTAGTGATTAGCCTTTAAAAGATTAGAGGAATATATTGTGATGACATATAATATGTCAAGGAGATAGGAGGATGTGATTTTAAACTAGAAAAAGTAGGTAGAGTAGATGTAAGGAAGATATTTTTACAATGTGGGTGGTGAAATAGTGGCACAAGTTGTCCAGAGAGGTGATGAATGTCCATCTCTGGAAACAGTGAAGGTCATGTTGGATGGGGCTCAGAGCAACTCAATCTAGCTGGAGATGTCCCTACTCATTGCAGGGGGCTGGACTGGATGGTCTTTAAAGGTACCTTCCAACCAGAACTGTTGTATCATGCTGTAACTGTTTTTCGTAAGACCAGTGCATTCCTAGTTCTTTTGCAGTGATGAGTCTTATATTTTAAACACTCTGGTGTTGTTAATGCAGCTAATAATTAAACTTTTTTCAGTCCTGAAATGCACTTAACTCTTCATGTATTTCCTCAAATACTTTCAGTCTGCTTTGTTTGTTTATTGTAAAGTAAAAAGCACCTAGAATTTAGCTTCATAGAACTTTTTTTCTCTAAACTTCAAATGAAGGAACTCCAAGAAGTTGCATCAGTAGTGAGATTAATTTTTAAGGCAGCCCAACACAGCTTTGTAGTGTTAATATACTATACCTGGGTGGCTGTCTTATCAAGGATTTTCTTAAAACCTGAACTCTAAAATTTTCCATAAAATGTTATTCTGTTATAAAGATTTGCCTTAATCATGTGAAATAATCATTGTCCTTTAATTTGTATATAAAATGTGTTAAAACAGAATACTAATAATAGAGTAATTAAGAGTTAAAATTAGTAAAAATAATTGTGTATGGTACTGTAAAAGGCCTCAGGTGTGCTTTGTGGCTTGTTTGGTTTTGGTTTAAGCTGTAGTTTCTCCTTAATAGCTTTGGATTTCATGCAATTCTGTCCTTTGGAGATAGGCAAAACAATCAAGTGTGGTCATACACACAGTGTGATTCCAGAGTTGCTTGGTTTAGTCTGGAGCATTCACAGTAGCACTGGCTGGTTAAGTGTGTGGACAGAAATTACTGTCTGCACTAAAAGTGTAGTGGAATTCCTCCATATCAGGATTTCTTTTGAAGATGGATTTATAGTGGATTGTGGCTGTTCTGATCAACTTAGGCTGTAGTTCTGCTGTATGCATATATTCTGACTTTTTAACAACCATATACTTGCTGTGAGGTCAGGTCTCAAAATAGAATTAGAATAATTGAAGGGAAGTTGCAGTGATTTTAAACCATTTTTAAATGACTCAGTGTTTGCATTATGCTGTCTGCTTCCAAATAAACACGATTAGAGGGAATTTCAGTACAAGTGCCCTTTTACTTTGGGTTTTCTTTGCAGATCTGCTAAGAACAGACTTGCAATAGCAGTTCTCTGAGGTTCCCCCACCCCTTCAATAATGGTATTTGTGGAGTTCTTTGGAGAGCTGCTTAATAATGAAATAAAAGGACTTATCTGTCTTATACCCATAGGCAGACTCCCTGCTCTAAAGCTGATCATGAGGCTTCTGACATCACTATCCCACTGCATGCCGGGATGTCTCAGTGGAGCAGGAAGTCTGCAAATCTGGCTGCTCTTAAAGATTCGCCAGGTGGGTTGGAACTGCAAAAGTACACTTGAACTGAAATTACCTCTGTAATTAGGCATTCAAACCATATATCAGAAAATCATAGTGTTTGAAGTTTTCATTCACATTTGAGGACTTGATTGGGAGTCCTTGAAGTCCACCATCTTCATCCCCTTATTTTCTGCATTAGCTTAGCAACTTTTTTGTTACATGTTTCCTTTTTTTTGGTTTGTTCTTTTCCCATATAAATGTACTTTGAGAAGATCAGATTAGGATTTTGGAGGTCAGAAATATTTATAAAGCAGCATCTTTGTCAGTCAAGTGTGAAGATGGACTATTTATAGATAAAGTCTTTGAAAAATTGTCATGGAAGTTAAAGGCATCCATCTTCAGTTAAACTAGCTGAAAGAGCTGGTGCATGTGTCCTCTTGGAAAAAGAAACAGGAAATCTGTGATACCTTATTTTATAAATAGTAATTAGGTAACAAAGTCTGTTTGGTAAGTAATTAAACAGTGATTACAAAATGATCAAAATAATTTGTAACAAATAAAGGTATAAAATTTAGAGAAAATGAAAATTGTACTCTGAATTTAAACACAGGCATTTTTAAAAATGTGTTGACCTTAGGTTAAATGCCATCAGTACTGGCCAGAGCCATCAGGAAGCTCATCATATGGAAATTTTCAGATTACCTGCCATTCAGAAGAAGGAAATCCTGCTTATGTCTTTCGAGAAATGACACTGACTAATCTGGAGGTAAAACCTTAATATATTTTCATGTATTAATCTGCAGAATTCTTGGAAACTACCTATAACATATGTGGATTTTCTTTTCAACTTGGTGGCATATCCATGTAAATGGCACTGTTTATTTCTAGAACCCTCTAGAAATCTACTCATTGTCATGTACTTTCTTAGGAGAAATTCTTTCTATAGAATGGTAACAAACCATTCATAAGCAAAAATATAACAGAGATTCATTTTTCAAAATCATATGAATTGGATCACATGAAGGATATGTTATTTATCCTAAAAGTTTTTATTGGTGTCTTTCATAACCTGGCCAAAGAAAAAGAGTAATAAAAGAAGTTGAGAAACTTATTATTGCCTTGATGTTTTCAGAACATGAGACATTAGAGGTGTTTCATCATAACATGGATTATAAAAAGTCTTTGTAGAGGCAAATAGTTCTTAATAATTCCATCTTGAACAATATGTGCAAGAATATGGAAGATAAATCCTGCTGAAAGATGAATCTGGAGTTGCGACTACATGTAAACAAGGACCTTTTTGAAAATGCATTGCATGATTTTCAGGGCATGTGTAGTTTTCAGAGCCTCCCCAGTCAGCATTTCAATGTCAGAAATGTTTGGAAATGAGTATCTGGAATTTAGATCACAGTTATTTCTCGCTGCTTGAGTTACCGGTTGAGAAGCCAGTTTTATAGAGCTGCCTTTTAGTCAATTTGCAGTTAAAATTCCTGCCCTGTGTCCTCTTGAGACAATTGCTCCTCTGCTATCAGCCGTGGAATCTCTGTTAATGATTCAGTGCCTAAAGGCTATTTAAAATGCAGTAGCTCCCCTTCTTTTGAAATTCGACTCTGGTTGCCCGGGCTGTCCCCTCCCCTAACCAGAGACCGATTGATTATATTTGTGATACCAGAGCAAGGGCCAGGAGGGAGTAGAAAACAAAATCATTGTGCCTTGTAGGTGCAGGAGGGTCAGAGCAAGCCAAAACACTGCTGCTGTTCACACAGGGTCTGAAGGAAAGCTTTTATCTCTGATCTCCCCTCCCTACCCCACTTCTGTAATTTGATCTTGTAAGATGCTATCTCGTTCTGTTAAATTTGGTTTGCTAAGAATATGACCACCTTCTTGTACATCTAGTGTTCAGTTAGATTGCTGGTATCCTTGAACTGCTTTGCTATTATGTGCGCTGTAATTTTTTTTCACCAGTTGAAGATGCAAGCATTTGTGGATTCCCTTTTTTACTTTTAAGCAAAAAAAAAAAAAGAAAATGTAATTGTAAAATCCAGGGTTGACCAATGGTTAGCACTAATAAAGCAGTGCTAGTTGAAAGCACTGAAGCCACTTTGATTATGGGTACAAGTTGGTGTGAATGTACTGTTGACTTTTTTAATTACTATTTTTGGTGCTTTTTTAAAATGGGACTTGAATTACTCTTGATTGAATTTCATGTGTCTGATTAGAAAGAGGAAAGCCGCCAGCTAACCCAAATCCAGTACATAGCATGGCCTGATCATGGGGTTCCTGATGATTCCAGCGACTTCCTCGATTTCGTGTGTCTTGTGCGAAAGAAGAGGGCTGGCAGAGAAGAACCTGTTGTTGTTCACTGCAGGTAACAAATTTCTTTCCAGTTTTATTAAATCATCAAAACTATTTTTATCATCAAATAGCTGTTCTGTGCTTTGTTATTGAAATAAATATTTAATATTATCTGCTTTGGGGATGACAGGAAAACTCAACCTTGAAATAAAACAAATATTTAATGTGGTAATGACATTTCAATAAGCAAGATTTTGAATAGCAACATATGTTGCTCTGTTCAGGCATTTTGCTGGGATGTTTTGTTTTGTTTGCAATTTAAATGCTTGTGGTTACAATCTGCAGAATAATAATTGAGGGAAATGGCAAAAGATACTTGGTAACCATGAGGAATAGGTTCCTATTCTACAAAGCTCTAGAATAGCTGTGTAAATGATCCATAGTGGAAAATGCGGATTGTTTATTAAAAGATCAATTAAAAGACATTTTCTCTCAAGTCTGCAGTTTTGGGCTATGTGGTATTGTGATTCTTACTTTAAGATGAGACATTTTTCTCAACAATTTACCTTTGTTATAAGTTAAAATAACTGTTGTTTAGATCTTTACATACACATGAAATGTGATTTTTCTTTTCCTTGTGCAATACTTTGTAATAGCATCTCCATTCCTGTAGCAAATTTCAAGATCTTAATAATTTTAAAATACCTGATTAGCAAACTAGAATAATAGTTGTTTTCAGATGAACATGTGCTACCACAATTCTTGGGGAACAGTTCTGTGAATAATATACATATATATTCTGAATACTCCCCAGAGAGTCAGTGTTCCTGAGTCAGGCATATATCATTCTTTTCAGAGAGAAGCTGAGAAGTGTAAGAGATTAAATAAAGACTACAAGTAAGCTAGGTATGTATTGAAGGAGATGAAAGAAAAAGAAAAATACACTTTGTGTATCAGAAATTGTATTTCATTAGTTCTGCTCCCAAGTTCTGTTTTATGCATGTCAGGATGAATCTTACTGACTAGGGAAACTAGTACCAGAATGCCAGTGTCTTAACTGATACTGCTTCTCAGCTTCCATTATTGATATACTTTTGGTTAATATGGTTGTGAAAAGACGGTGAAAATGGCAGCCAAATATACCGTCTATGATATAAACAGTGCAGAAACACTGGAACAACAATGGAGAGTAGGAACAGTTTCATTCATCTCAGGGAGGCACCAGTTCAGCTCCAAACTGATAATTTCAATGTGTAATTGAAGCTTTATGAAAAATTTATGTTTGACAGAAGAAAAGAGATGGATTACCACAGTTGAACATAATTTACTTAATTGGCCCAACTTGGTGGCTGTTGGGAAGTATAACCAATTCCAGCAGGGAGTCAAGCAGAAGGAGCCCAGGTGTTCCTCCATATGGTGCATTCACTCTATTTTTAACATCTCTTCAGTGTAATAGGACAGGGCATTAGTGCAACAAAATTTGTTTTCAGGAGTAAGCTACCAGCTTTAGTGTGAAGACTCCAAGTAGCTAAAAGAAAACTATTTTATTTTGTACAATAATAATAATTTAGAGATAAAATGGTCCAAACTCACAGAGGTTATAAGGCAACCAAGACCTTAAGGAGTTGGAATGGTTTTTGTTATATTGAGCTGCATAAATCACTAGTTTCTGATGTTGTATCATGTGGTTATTTTTATCTTTACAAGGTTGTACTAGTTTCGTTGAACAGTTTCTAATTCTTGTTCAAGGTGAGATGGGAACCACCCATTCTGTCCATGCCCTGTCTCAGTGTTCTACTCCATCACTCAGTGATTTCTTTTTCTAAGCTGAGGACTCCTATCCTACCTTATGTTTGTCATAGGGAAATTATCACATTTTCCATCATGGTTGCCCTCTGAATCCTTTGAAATTATAAAATGAGTCTTTGACAGTTACTGTTTGTTTGTGCTTGGATTTGATAAAGCATTCTGTATTTAAGTTCTATTTGTATAAATTCTAGAAATATAAATACAACAGAATCATTTTATATAACCAGCACTTGTCTTAAAATTCTTATCACATCACTGAAATATAGAGTAACTTTAATGCCACCTTCTGGACAAAGATTTAAATAGTAGTTTAGCCAGACTTAATTTGAAGTAACTCTTTAAAATCGGAACAAGTAACTTTCAAAGTTTAAAATGTTTATATGAATCACTTTAGATCAAAACACTTTAATTTATTGCATCAGTTAGGATAATGCTGACATTTCAAATTATGTATTTGGCCCTATGTTCCAGTATGAGGAAACATTTGTTGTCTATTTCAAAAATGCAACATTAATTGAAAAATTTGAAACTGTTCATTGAATTCAAGGTTAAATATTCAGTCTTTAAGGCTTGCTACTTCTGGAAAAGCATTATGTATATATAAAATAAAGCAGATGAATCTTTAGTTTTGTTTTACTTTTAAGGAAAAAATGTTTGTCTGTAAGCTCTTCTGATAATTTTGCCATTCTGAGATATGCTGTTATGGTACTTTGTTGTCTTGAAAGGGATTGTTATCATGTATTCCTTTTAATAACAAGAAAACAATCCTTATTGTCACCCTACAGAGATTTCTATTAATGGTTTTTTACTTGGAAATAGGAAAGTACGTACCACTTGAAGGGCATGAATATTATTTTATTGGCCCCACATTTCAGAAATCATTGTTTCAGCAACAGTCAAACTGACATGATGTGTCCAGCATATGCTCATGTTTTGTTATCCTCTAGATGTTAGTGTGGTTTGTAATGGGATCTTAACAAACATCTCTGTCAGTTCTGCTCAGGGGAATGGCTGGGTGAGGCAGTTCCTCTTCCAAGGCAGTTCTGTACTGATGGGTTTTGCTCTGTTCAGGCAGGACAGAGGCTGCTTCCAGACAGACACAGCCAGTCCAATCCCTGCCCCAGCAGTGTGGGAGCCACAGTGATCAACCCTGAGAATCCAGGAGAAGAAAGGTCTTTGAGTATGAACTCCGGGCACTTGATTTCATTTTCCACTTTGTGTTTCTGTTGCTGTTGCAGTGCTGGGATTGGACGCACAGGAGTTCTGATCACGATGGAGACAGCGATGTGTCTCATTGAGTGCAATCAGCCTGTTTATCCTCTAGATATTGTAAGAACTATGAGAGATCAAAGAGCCATGATGATCCAAACACCTGTGAGTATCATCCCTGCTGTTCTGGGTTGCAGAACAATAATTTCCTATGATCCAGTCATGTTGGATAGATTTTTAATGTACTTGGTGATCATATTGTGGAGATCACCTTTACCCAGTGTAGCTGTAGCCTTGGCTCCAGGCAAAAATAAATTCCTAAGGATATTGGAAAGGAGCATTTATTTATATTTCTACTGAGAAAACTTGAAAAAAAAGCATCAGCTGTTTCAGGAATACCTGGTAAATAATGACAAAAAGGGTCAAGTTTCACAGTGTAAAAATCGCTCAGAGAAGAAAGCAGGAGCCTAATTCCAGGTGTTAAGAATGGGAATGGGAGTAGTATAAAAGATAAACACAGAAAGAGCCAAGACATGCATGAAAAAACTTCAGTGATGAAGTTCAGTGATTTTATGTTGCCTTAGTTGTAATGGAAACAAGCCTCAATTACACTCTGTTAATGACTGAAAGGGAAATTATCAAAGAAATAAGATTTGTAAAAATCAGTTCAATTAAATCTCATGTGAGATGCATCAAAGCAATCCTAAGTACACTTAGTCTAAGAATAGTAACTTGCTAAAGGATTCTTTTGGGGCTTTCCTGGCATTTGATTTACTTTAAGATACCAGAATTTTTCGTGCACCTGTAATGTTTGGGTTTTGTGACATAGTTAATGTATTATATTTCAGACTTGTAAGAGTTTTAGAACAAATTTAGAAACTTATTATTTTATCAGTCAGGTATTGCTTATAGAGCAATATAACAAAGAGCAGTTTGTTTTTACATTTTTAGAAAGTACCTAAAAAGGGTGAAAAGGTTGAGTTGTGTTGTCTTTTAAAAAAAAAACAAAAACAAAAATAGAAAGTACCTAAAAAGGGTGAAAAGGTTGAGTTGTGTTATAAAAAAAAAAAAAAAAAAAAAAAAAAAAAAAAAAAAAAAAAAAAAAAAAAAAAAAAAAAAACCACAAAAAAAACAACTTAGATTTTTGGTTGTTCCAAGCATTGGATAGTTCTAGGTTTGTTTTTTCATTTTGAAAGAGTAATCATGAGTAATTGGTGCAGTTTTACTCACAGTACACAACATTTAGAGAGAAGGCATTTTGAAGGAGAAAAGGCACTAGATCCAGTATAGACTCAAAATTACTTGAAGGTAGTTACTGTAGTAATTTTCATGTGCCTGCTGCTGTTCCTCTAATAAAATTTGAATAAAACTTTTTTGTTCTTCAGAGAGTATTAAGGCTGACAAAAAGTATTTGTCTCCATTTCTAGTTCATCAGTCATTCAGTGCTGCTGAATTCATGTTCCAGTACTCATGTTTCACTAAAAAGTTGTTGTATTCAGGTAGCACAGGAAGGATGAGAAAGGTGATGATAAATGAAAAATAGCAAAGGATGGCTCTTGCTGTTTGTGATAGTTCTTCAGGATGGATAGCTCTCTAACGTATGTAGAGGGGGAGAAAGTGTTATTAGTAAAGGTAGGAGTTGCGGTGGTGAGGGTTCTAACTGCCTTTTTTCAAATTATGTGCTCAATATAATCTGGTCTCCTCGTTTTTCTTAGAAAACAAAATATTTCAAGATTCAGTGAAAAGCAGGTGTTTAGTGCATCAGAGTGAGAAGGTCTGACAAAGGAGTTGTGTGGGGTTTTTTAAGGTTTCGTGGCCGTCCGCCGTTCCCGTTCCTCCTCCTGCCAAAGGAGCGCGGCTCGTGCGCGCCGGGGGGTTCGCTCGCTGTCCGCGGGGGGGCGCTGTGCACGGCCAGCTCCGCCGCCCTCGGGGGCCAACGCAGATTTTGCACCAGTGCAGGGAAATGAACTGTTCCACATAGACGGGACAGGACAGCACATAACGGCTCTACTGCTACGTATGGTCATATGTTAATCCCTTAAGCTCTGGCATCACTGACTGCTGCATAGAGGGGGCTGTTCCACAACACTGACAGTGCAGGTGTGCTGGAGGTCTAACCAGCGTAGACACATTGTGCAGGATGCAGTGTGAGTTGTGGCACTTTCCATTCATTTCAGTTTGTTTTCATTATAGTCTAATTTGATTACTGTCAGTTTTTTAAACTGTTATTTAAATAAAACAAACTCTTAGTCACCTCTGTGTATGCAGGTGCTAGACTTTGATGCCTTGAAGAGTTAGACATTATATAATGTTAAGAAACAGGAGGCCTGGGTTTTTAAAACATGAAACATTTCTTTTAAATCAGATTCTGACAGGGAGGTGCCAGTAACATGCCTGAGTTAATGTAAGTATGAAAAAGTGCTTTGAAACTATGGCTTCTAAATCCAAGGGCATGGAAACCTCAGGTCAGTGACATTTCAGCAAGGAAATAAAGAGCAGAAAATTACTAAATAGGTGATGTAATAATAATACTGGGGTTTTGGGTATGACTTTCGTATATATTTCAAAGTGCCTTTCATCCTATTCTTCTGTTGAGAAACAAAATGCTCTCATCTAAAGCTCCTTTTGTATTATGCTTCCTAAACTAATTTTGAAACACAGTTCTTGGCCTGTCAAGAGAATGGGGTGGGGAAATCTTAGAGGCCTTTTCTGTTTCCAAATGACATTTTTCAATTGCAATTCTTTTCAATTTACTGAATCTGCTTTTCTTTTCAGAGTCAGTACAGATTTGTATGTGAAGCTATTTTGAAGGTGTATGAAGAAGGATTTATTAAACCTTTACAAGCATCACTGCATAAGTAAAGAGCAAAAAACCTATGATATCAATTGAGGAATCCTGTCCTCTATCATGAACTGGCAACATTCTTTGTGCCATAATACTGCTTGCAGGAAATGATAGTGAAGTACAGCAAAGAATTGACAAAGGACTTTGAAAACTTCAGCACTGTTGCACTTTACGTTGAAACAAAATCAGTCTCTGAAACTCTTCTAACCTTCATCTGTTTGAAGACTTTATTTTCGTGATTTGCTCCGAACAAACCATAAACTGAAAGAACTAATTGTGTTCAGGGTAATCGACGATATTTCATTGTAGTGCCATGTACTGCGCTTCTGGTTGAATTGCTACAAACAAGGCTTGGAATTATTTCACTCTGTTTTACACCCATGTCTCTTAAAATGAAAAACAAATTAAAAAATACACTAAGCCATGGTCTTTTTCCAGTGCTAGGTTTATTTACTATATACAGACTCTCACAGTTTTGTTTTTTACAACATTAGCAATATTGCCAATACTAGATAGATACACACTGCCTACTGATGCAGCACACTTTGTCCTACACCCTTACTAGAGACCAGCTGGTTGTTAGAGGAGAGCTGGCATCTGTTAACCCAGCAGTAGCTGCATAATGCCCACTTACCAGCATCTTGTACAAAATAATAACAATAAAAACTTTAAAATAAAAACATATAATTAAACAGCATTTCTTCGGCACAGCTTGTGTGTCATACACTGGTGTATTCTGATTTGTGTGACTTCAGATTATGTGATGGGAGCTAGTGCATGCATTTTGTCTTAACCCCTTAAGTGCCTTGAGACTTACAGCGTACATCCAGTGAAAGGCACTCATGATTCCATGGGGTGGTGTTGTCCTGTCATATTTATCTTAATGGATTCAGATTTTTAAAATGGCCCTTGGTGCTTGGAATATGTTACCACAAGGGGCCATTCCTTCTTTCATTATACAAGTACCTGTGTGCTACTCTCTGTAGCAGAAGCACCTCTGCCAACTTAATGAATGAGCATTTTATGCTGCTGTGCTGTAATTGTATCAAAAATCTGACACATTCCTTCATTCCTTCCAACTCGTAACTTACTAGCATCTTACTGCGAAATGCTGGTAGGTCATTAGAAGCTGATACCTGGTTTTATCCTTTTATTGAGAATAGCTGTTTTACTCGATTAGACATAACTTTTTAATAGCACTGATAATTAAGTTGAATTTACAATCAGATGTGATTTAATTCCATTACCTTCTAACTAACTTGTTAAGCCCTCATAGTTGATTTCAAGCCATGTTCGTACAGGTCTGCCTTTTATTTTCTTTTATTTGCTTGGAGGGGAGAAGGGAGGAGAACACTATGAAGTTATCCCAGAACTTAATTTCATAATGACCCCAATCGCCTTCTGTTATGCTTGTGGAAAATTGTTCCAGTTGGTATGAGTTGCTTCTTATTTAAGTAGGTAGAAGATTTGTAAGAATTGTCTGTCTGATACAGTATCTGAGCTCATTCTAAAGATGCATAAGTGTCCCCGTTTTTTAATATTTTTCTAGTATAGGAGAAACCAAGTCAGAAGCAAGGTACCCAGTGTAATATACTGTAAGGAAAAACCAGTCACTTATTTGACTGCCCTGTGACAACATAACTTTGTGCCCTCTATTTAAAAGTTTTAATTTATTGTATTGGTTTCCTGAAAATGTTTATCCATTTAATTTTGTTGTAAGCTATATATATAGCATAGAATTAAAATGCAAAGTTCTACACTAAATAATTTTTAACTATTGAAAAATTATATTATATAATATACTTTGTTCTATGGACATTTGAAACAGATCAGCTATGAACTATTAAATGAAAAGGGATTCAGGAAACATGAAATCCTGGCTTATGACTTAGTAATGAACAAGAAGTACAATGCCAAATGGAAGATAGAGTTTTAAATATTTTTAGAAAACAAAATAATATTAGGAGGGCTGTGGCCCTGTTACTTATATTTCTAGATTTGATGCTCAAGTCAATGTTATCCCTCAGTGAAAAATAAATTTTACAAGAATCTCTGGATCTGAACTGAACTGAAAGAGTAATATGGTAGCTTTAATCTCAGTTATATTTTAAGCCACTTGCAACAAATAAAAATTCTTTTTTATAGTTCTTTAACTTCCATATGATGAGGTTATTAGCTGAGTTGCTGGCTAGTTAGAAGGTTATATTGAACTCTGCACTTAATGTCCAAAAAGTAAAATAATTCATCCATTATTCTGAAAGAAATTTTCTTCATAGTTAAGTTGTAAACAAAAATAGCATTTGCCCTGTTTTTCTGGGGGAAATCAGAAATGGAGGTTATAGCAGCGTTATATAGCATTGGTATGTCACATATTTAAATATTCTTATGTAAAATTGCCATAGCAGTTCGAGTTCAAAAGTCCCATTTATACCACAATTTAGTGTGGGATGTGTATTGGTCATCTGTCATCACTGTTTTGATTACAAACACAGACAAGAATAATAAGTCTCTTCAGAATTTTCCTCTGCACTGACTTGTAGTTTATTAACTAGCTGCACTGGGGAAAAAATTGAAACTAAGTACCTATTCATAATTGGCCATCAGCGACTCAGTGGCTTTTGGCTTCTCCAAAGCCAGGATGAAGGTAACCAAAAACTGCTTGGGAAAGAGAATAGCACTGAAGCCTTTCTGCACCATAAATCAAGTAATTTAAATTTTTCTACCTGATGTGGTATAAATGGCCTTTAAAATATTTTTTATATGGCCAAAAAAAGCAAAACTGCTTAATATTTTACTTTGGGTTATGAAGATCTGTATCATCCTTAAGAGTTTTTTAAAGAAGTTTTTGTATGTTTCATGCTGTACAAAACATGAATGTATCTTTCAGACATAATGACTTATAGACCTATATGTGATTGGTGTTATGACTGTTGGATTTTATGAATAATTATTTTCATACCATTTGATTAGGAAAAATGTTGGGTGGGTGTGGGAAAGAGTATGTTTCTAACACTTCCATGATACAAATCCAGTTAAAGAAAAAAGAATAAGTAGTTTTCATTGTAAATAAGAGCAATATTAAGACAATTTTGTGCCAATGTAAAATGTTAAGATTTTTGTTTTTTACTTTTAGGTTCAGATTGAAAACTACCACTACCATCTCTTGTTTAAAATGGATTTGAGGGGTTATTTTAGTAGGAAGACAAGGGGCTCTAGTGGGGGCTTTGAGTGTTTTTTGGGAGCATTTTTTTATTTTTGCTAAATATGAAATAAGATACAGGTATTGTTTAATAAACCACCTACAGACTGTCAGCCAGTCCACCTTGAGAAATACTGCATTAGATATCCCAGGTAACTGAAGGCTGAAAATTTAATTTATCCTGAATTTGGAAGCATTTTGGTTATTTTCAATCACTTGTAGGTCTTACACAGTAAAACACTGCTTTTATGCATTTTATTTTTATCTATTCTCTCCCAGTTATGCAAAAGAGAATGCCTGGGTTTTTTTCTCACTAGATTTAATGCTAGCTGACATTTCTTCCACATTTGTTTGTTAAATCTCAAAAGCTTATATGTCATATAGATAAAGCAATAACACTTCTAGAATATCTGATTACAGTCTGGCACACCATCTAGTAAAGAAAGGGTGAGAAAGCAGTTGGGACATTAAGGAACATGAGGAGGTTGTTATGGAACTTGTGCAGCTGGCAACTTTCTGTGGAGACCTTCCAAAAAGCTTCATGGTACCTGTGGAAGGGCCAAGATGCAGCAGATGTTCTGCAGCTGCGCTGCCCAGGGAAATGGGACGAAGGGAAGGTCTGGCATGGAGATGCTGGAGCTCCAGGTATGCTGTGGAGCTGAATTATGTGATATTTTTATGCTTATGCAGTGTGTGTGCAGGTATGTGGGTGATGTTTGGTGGCTCAGGGAATTAGCATGAGCATGAAAAGCTCTACAGATCCACCGATGTCCAAGCAAAAGAAGGGTGTCCAGTTTATATGCTGTTGTTTTGACTGTAGAGCCACTATGCCAGCAATCAGCAAGCCCCTCAGCCCTGAGGATACAAGGAGTGATTTGGTTATGGTCCACATGAAAATTTTGCATATTTGGACTTCCATCAAGTTGAAGAATGGTGTCCTCTAATATCAGTTGCAGTGTTTTTGTAGCTCATATCTCAGGTCCCCAGTTGGCTGGGTTGGGTGTATTTGCCAATTTTAGTGTACCCATCTTTTGTCTTGAGACTGAAGAAGTATTTTTCCATTGCTACTTCTAGTGCTAGGATCCTGTATTAAGATTTGGTAAAAACATACTCCTTGATTACCTGTGGATCTTGCATGAATATGCAGGGATTTATAATTAGTGGTGATTGGGAAGCTGTTAGAAGGAGGAAATGGTTGGTTTGTTTCAGTGTAACTGTTCTGTCCAGTCTCCGTTATCCCACTGCACTTAGTCACTTGTTTGTTTAGAAGTCTGCAAAGTAGGCCAATTCCTTTTCACTGATTTTACCTCTGTGCTTGTTACTCCCACAGGTGTCTATCTTTTCATAGGGCTTCTGCTACAAATTGTGATCTGGTGCATAAGCTCTAAGTTCTGGCTATTGGCTTTGGCATATTTGTTCGCTGAGATCTCAGTGGTAAAGAGGGCAGATTAATGACTTTCTTTAAATAAAAAAGCTGAAATATTCAATTTAAAAAATTTAGACATTTTGATTAGTAGCCTCATTTTTAAAAGCCACTAAAATATCTGATTCTAGTCTGCTGTAGCAAGAATGGTGGTTTACAGACTGGCTGGCAGCTTGTTGGTTGTGGTATTTCATATTTAGCGAGCTTACACATTTTGAAGGATAATTTTTTTCAAAGTGTTTTGATGTTTGAATAGTAGCACTTTATCTCATGCTTACTACTGACTGAACTATTGGACAAAATAAATTGGGTATGGAGAGAGATGCTTAATGGGTTTCTGCACAGAGATTATTTGGACTACACCCTGGTACAAATGCTTTCTGTTGTTCCAGCTATTTCTTGTTGATTGTTCTTGTGTTTCTGAGGGATTTTCAGAAAATAGATATTAATAAGATAATTCTGTCATCTCAATTTTCCTGTCTTAATATGAATATGAAGCCTGCATTTGGGAAAAAAGCAGAAAAGGAAAAAAAAAGATGAAAATATAAATTTACAGGGTACTTGTAAATGTATGTGATCTCTCTCAGCTAGCTGCAAATCAGCTACGTTTACTGTAAATGTTTCTGCTAAGCATTATTTTTAACATTAGATCAATTACCTGGAAATCAGTATTTCTTTTTTTTTTTTTTAACTTATTTGAATTTTGATAACTAAAGATAATGCACAACAAAGTTTAAGGAAGTTGTCACCCTTTTGCACCTAGGCCAGGGGCCTGAGACATGAGTGAAAGGGTTAAACAGTTTATGTTAAGCTGTTTTGTTCTTTGACTAGAATATATCCACAAGGACTAGACTATAAATGATCCACTGCAATTATCTCGTACATCGGGGCACCACAGTAACAACCCATAATAATCTTACAGGAAAATTAAGGTAAGAGAGTGAAGGTTTTATCTTATCCAGTGTATCCAGATTTGTTTTCCATTTGGTTTGCTTCATTTACCAGTGATCCCATTTTAACCAGTCAATTTGGCAGGGCTGTTTGTGTAAGGTTTGGGTTTTTTTCTGTAACAGGTGCTATACAATGTGTAAATACAAAGGGAAGAGTATTATTTTGATAATTATTAACAATCAGATGGTGGCAATATTTTTGCCAGTTACTTCTGGTAATTTGCATTTCCAGCTGTGGATTTCAGTTGTCAAATTTCATCTCAGTTTCATTCTGCTGAATGATGGACTGCAAGTGTGGAGTAAATCATCTCAGAGTTGAACAGCTCTTGCATTGTTTAGACTAACTCTTGTGTATCTTTATTAATACTGGGGGGATGCAAAGGCTCTTCCCGTAAGTAGACTTCTGCCTATAAATTTGTTTAAAAGCACATGAGGGGGAGGGAAAAAACAAACCAACAACCTAAATGCACCATCTTGGCTAAGCAGCCAGGGCGGTTGATGGAAAACGATGGAAACTTGAAATTGGTCAACACTGGACAATGTGAAAATAAATTCAGCTTTTGTCACTGCAGCTACTGTATGCTTTAAAGGGCCTTATGTATTTGTCTTCATTTTGATAAAATTCTTGCCATTAAAATTATACACTAACTTCTACCGAAAACCAGCAGTTCCCAGGATAAATATGCTAATTAACATTTAACAAGTCTTGTTTTAGTCTTAAGTAAAAATTTCATTCTATTATGTGAAAAAATGCTGTTATGCATATTTTGTGGATATATTTAATTTCAGTTGACAAATAGTTGTCTAGGTACAGACTTGAAAATATATATATAGTTTACTTGTGGATCTTAATTGTTTAATTGCAAAATAAAGATGTGCTTTAGTAATTTAAAGTTTAATTTTTTTTTCCAGTTTTCTTGCTACTGTACCCACGGTTTTGCTGTGCCACATTTATATGTCTCCGGTACCAGATAATATTCACCTTGTATTTTCCTTCTTGACATTGTATGACATAAACCTGGATTGTGCATTAGAAGAGGTTGCAAATTTTCAGGAATTAAGTTGCTTGGGTAAGGCATCAGCCCAAATTTTCGCCTGAAAATATATAAATACTGCAAGATTTGCTCTAATGGAACAATATATAACTTCTAAATTACATTTTATACAGTGAGTGTATTGGAGATGGTGTTCAGTAGAGATGATAATCTGATCAAAAAGCTGAGGGTATGATGAACACTGATGTGAAGAACAAAAATTCCAGATGGAAGCTTGTGATCAAATATTTGCTGCCAAAAAGTGAGGGGATGTTCAAAACAAAAGCAGGTAAAGATAATGAAAGGGCTTAGGAGGAAAGACAAAATTCTCGGGAGGGATGAGTGTCTGAGACCCCCATATGTTCCTGATTCCACTGAAAAATACAGGACTTTAAAGTGAGGGCAGGGTGTTTGGATTTGAAGTACAAAAATATAAACTAGTGGGAAAGCACTTTAAGGAGGAAAACAGATGTAAGAAGAGGCTTTTCAATAGGAGGAGATTAAACTGGAATAGGAAGACTGGATATAAGGCAAGTGACAGGTTACACAGCTGAATGTGTACTGTACATACTCATACTGTATCTCGCAAATAGCAAGGAAGCAATTGTAATTACAGGAAGAGTAGCAAGAGGGTGGTGTGAAGTAGAAATTGCAAAAATGAGCAACTAAGCTTTTGTGTCACTGTAGCTACAGGAAGGATAAAATCTTTGTGCCAACATGGGAGCTTGTGAAAAAGTGGAAGGAAGCTCAGTTTGAGGAATAGTTGAAGATGGTTAGAACATTTAGGGACAATGTTCAAGAATCAGGGAATTCTCCACAATTCTTTGTCATATAGGAGAATGTGAATTGGTGTAGACTTAATAACCAGGAGACTCCCATTTACCTGTCAGATCTCCACTATAAACTAAGCATCCAATATGCAAACCATTGATTAGTTGATCTGAGAATTCATCAGATATCTGCAAACCCTCAAGATAATTTATTTTTCCATGTTAAATATAGTAAGATTTTGTATAGTTTCTTTGGGAACTTTATAGCAAGCTCCCACAGGTATTTCATGACAAGCTACAGAGAGCAAGCAAGTCCCTGTTCCTCTGATAAAAAGTAAATATCTAAATTCCCCCCGTTTTGTAATTCACCTTTCTTAATAAATAAACAGGCACGTGAATGTGAATCTCACCTTTCCTCAAAGCTCGCCCTGCTCCTCCCAGCGGCAGGAGTGGTTGTCAACCTGTTACTTCGTCACCAAATGGTAGGCAACTACCTGTCAGACTTCTTAGTTTTTCCCCCCATTTCAGTAAATGACATGAAGGGAACTCGATGTATATACAGGCAGTGGAGCTGAGCTATTAATGTGGGTTTCATTGTGCCAATTCCACTGCCTGGCAAGGACTGACCGGGTGTCAGCCCGCGATTCAGAGCGGAGCACAAAAAACGTGTTATCTTTAGCCCAAGAATCTGCTTTCCCAGGCTATTGGGTAGGCTGGATTCCCAGTTACCCTAGGATTTTGTGGGTGTCTGGAGCTCCTTTACTCCGAGCTTTGTCACTTTTAGCTGGCATTACGCAGGGAGAGTTTATATTGCCTTTCCTGAGGTTTTCCTCAAATACTGACTTGGACACAAATATTTATGTACTAAAAAAAGCTCAGTAAAGTGCAGCCCTCTGTAATTGCTGCCGAGGAGCGGGGCTCGTCCCAGGGCTGGAGAGACGCGTACGAAAAGCGGTGGAAGCGCGGGGTACCGGCACAGGTCTGCATTTAAACTTTAACATACAGACTTCATTTTGTACTCGCAGCCTTACTTCAGTGTATAAATATTAACAGTGCTTGATTTAATACACTGCTACCGCTGCTCTTTCAGGCACTGTTTGAAGATAAGGTTTTCTTACAAATTTTATGGTTCAAGCACGTATTTGCCTAAAGGTTCCAGTTACCGCTGGGCAGCCGAGGGCTGGTCACAGTCCTGGCCAAACCACAGAGGGGAAACCTCCACGCCGCGTTAGCAAAAACTCCGGAACTTTTGGGAAATAACCTGAAACGCGTCCCGAAGGCTCAATCCCCAGGGCTGCCCCGCGCCCGAGGCCGCCCCATCGGGCCGCTCCGGCCTCCGCGCTGCGCCCCCCCTCGGGCAGCACGTGGTCGGCGCCGCGCCCCCCCACCCCCCGCGGCGGCCCCTCCGCCGGGCGAAACCACCTGGCACGGGAGGGGGGGCGCCCCTTCTCCACCGGGCCCCGCCCCGTTAAAGGGGCGATGGGCTCCCGCGCGGCGGGAAGCTGAGCGTTCCTTCTCCCGTCCGGCTGCCGCCGTCCCTTCTCGCCGCCCTCCGCCTTCATCTCCGCGCCGCCACCGAGCGGGAGAGCGCGGCCAGGGGAGCCGTCAGGTGAGTGAGCGCGGGGGGAGGAAATGGCCGGCGCGTCGCTGCCCGTTTAAGGGCCTCCCACGACGCTCCGCCATGTCCGCGGCCCGGCCCCTCCCGGGGCTCCCTCACCGCCCCGGGCCCGGAGGAGCCGCGCGGGGACGCTCCCGCCGGCCGCAGGTGAGCCCGGCAGGCGGGGCCGGAGCGGGGCCGCGGGGCCGGGCGTTATGTAAGGGCGGCCGGCGGGGCCGGGGCTCGGGGCTGGCTCCCCGCACACTCCGGCCGAGCCCGGCAGCGCCACGGGAAGCGCCGTGCCCGAGGGGCGCTCGCCCTCCTGCCGGAGCCGTTGGTGCACGGAGAGCTGGGAGCGCGGCTCTGAGGGGAAGGAAGGGTCGCTTACCGCCTGTTTTCCGTGGGAGAGCTGGAGCTGTGAGCCGGGAAGGGAGCCGGCGGTGTGTAGTGCTGAGTCGCCTCCCAGCCGTGCAGGATCTCCGTGTGGGAGAAGCGCGCCGTGGCGTTTGTATTGCTGAAAGATTGCAGAGAACAGTAGGTGATCTGCGCGATCGCTGGTTTTTTCACCTTACACGTAGTTTCGTGTACTCCCAAAAACTCACCCAGCCGTCTTCAAAGTTCTAAGCTGGGTTTTTTTTCCAAGACTTTCACAGCCAAGAACTGTGTTTAAGAGATGTTTAAAAGTGAAAATCTGTTTGATTCTTGGCGTTTCTTTATCAAAGTCTGGGATTTTCTAAGAACTTTATTGCAGGCTTTTTTTTTTTTTTTTTTTTTTTTTTTTTATTTTTGTTTTTTTTTTTTTTTTTTTTTTTTTTTTTTCTTGGTTGGGTTTGAGATCGGTTAGTTTTTCTTTTGTTTTTAGGCTTTTTCTTCTGTAAAAAACTTCACCCTGTTCATTTTCTCGGTTGGATTTTGTAGCAAAGATGCTGAGCTTTTTCCGCCGCACGCTGGGACGCCGGTCCATGCGTAAGCATGCGGAGAAGGAAAGGCTGAGAGAGGCCCAAAGGGCTGCAACCCACATCCCGGCAGCCGGGGACGCCAAATCCATCATCACCTGCCGAGTGGCGCTGCTGGACGGGACAGATGTCAGCGTGGACTTACCGGTATGAGTGATCCCAGTGTGCTTTTGAAATGCACTTAGTTTGTGTTATTTTGATGTGGATTGCTGTTTGCAAGTTAGGTGAAGGTATTGCTCTTTGCTGTTGGCAGTCGACCCTGTGCCTTGATGTCCAGTAAGTTACTGCTCGTAAAAAGGTTCTGAAGGAATAGTTAAATTTGGCATTCACTGAAATTCGAGAGTGTTTTGCTGAATGTCATCGTGCTTTACACACTGGCCACTTTCTAATGTTTTAATGCAATTGTTGTGCCAAGGCATAGCTTAGAGAGGGTAACCTGTTTGGTGAATTGGGTTTTCTTTTTGGTGAGCTATCTGTCTTGACAAAGAAGGTGAATCTCTTGGTGTAACTTGTTGAAGAGGAGGGATGAGCAGAAGTACTAGCAGGAATTTCTGTGTGGGTTGGGTTTGGTCTGGTTTTGTGTCAGAGATGAGCACATTTTTTAATGCTAACTTGGGAGGGGAAGAGGAAAAATCTGCTTCCTTCCCCTCCTCAGGGCAGATTATATAGTAGGGATTGTCTCATGGCATGGTGCTTTATTCAGAGTGAGGTGTTAGCCACTGTTTTACATTTCTTAAGCTTCCTTAATATGCACGTGCCTGTTCTGCTTGCCTAATTGCATACCTGTTTTTGGCCAACAGGATGAGCAGTGGCAACAGAAGCGATGTGCTCTGTTTTTCCATTACCATGTGTTGTAGTTATTAGTGACTTGTCTTAAGCTCACAGAGCTGAGCATTAGGAAGTTAGGAAGGTGTGGATCTGCAAGACCTGACTAGTTGCAGAGGATTTTGGCTGCAGTCACAGTTGTGCTGGTGTTGGAACTGCTGACTAGAAAGAAAAGCCATTTCAAGACTGGCTGTTCCACACAGGTATTTCTTCCCTTTCTTTTTAATTGTGGAGTGTTTAGGTAGTGCAAGGAAGTCAGCTTGATTGATCAGTGTTGTTGACATAGCAGAAATAACTCTTGTGATATCCTGAACCCCTCATAATCTAGAGCTAGAGAAACCCTTTGGCATCTTTATTTGCAAAATGACTGTACAGATAGGTGTTTATAGAGGGTGGTAAAATCAATTTATAAAACTCTGAAGCAATGTAATTAATATATCCAGTGCTGCTTAGTGCCTAGGATGTTTGATTTGAGGCCAGGAATGCCCACAAACACTTTATAGCAAGAGTTAACACTTAAAAAGTACTCAAGTTTAAATTGGTGTCTCTGCATAACCAGAGCAGTAATCTTTGGAGCTGGAGTTGGCTCTGTAGGCAAATTCCTGGTGGCTCCAACAACATTTCTAAGGCTTTGAGAAGCATAAATTGAACTTGAAGAGGTGTCACGACCTGCCACCTGGCATATAAATCTCACACAAGGGTGCA